CCATTTGTCTGCCTTTCGCTCGATTTGCCGGGGTTTTTCGTTTGATTGAACGCTGCTCATAATTGATACATTCGGAATAAATCTGCTTGACCCATATTTCCCCTTGGGCTGCATGAAATCGGGTTTCCCTTATAAATGGTTTTCCTGATTGATCTGAGCCGTTGAAAGGGGTTCCCCGGCCATAATGATAAATAATTTCAATCAGGGGGTAAAAAAGGAGGAATAAGTGGAATAAATGGAATATATGAATTTAAGTTTCCCCACACCCGTAAGGTTTTAACTCGTTGAAACTGCGGTTTCGTTCGCATATTTTAGGGATATTTATGAGCAGGGAGCAGAAACCAGGCGACCTTTCCGCATACATGGCGTCCAGGCGACTTCCGTTTCCGCTCTGGCTGCGACATGGGAAAACTTTTAGCATTTATCGTATGAATTTCTGAAGCCATTTTCCATTTCCATGGGCGACATTTTCCACAAAAAATAAATTCAAATGCCAGCCGCAGTTCTTTTGTTTCACTTAACCCTTTCCCTTTTTTTTTCTCGAACTGCGAAAAGCCTTCAATGGAATGCATTTCGGCAAAAGACGTTTCTCTTTTGCTTAAATTTGTTTAGCTTGTAATTCTTTGATTTTCATTTGCCAGGCTAAATAAATATTAAATGAAAGTGCCACGCCGGCTGTTTGGCAAACTAAGCATCAACCCACAACAATTACACTTTCAACTACAGAGCTCGGCAGACTTTTCAGCTTTTCTGCAATGGCTTTTCAGCTCTGACATTTTAAGTAGGCATTGCCATGAAAGGGATATACGAGTACAAGTACTACTATATATGTACTATATGTTCTGCAGAAGGAGTGAAGTAAAAACCGCCTGGAACAGAGCTTCTGTTGTTTGCTTTGTGATTTCTGCCCCACAATTATGATCACACACAGTTGCTCAGTGTTCGTATTCCCATTACCCGATTCCCCCGAATCCCCCTGAATCCCCCTGAATCCCATGGAGGCATCCCCTTCCACTTCCATTTTCAGTTTCTGCTGAAATAGAAATAGAGCCATGCGATGACTTCTCCCCAGCAAAACAGGCAGAGAACACAGTGCGGCTAAAAAGTATGCGAGCACTCACATCCCACTCGCAAACCGAGCCTTTGTGTTCATGTTTGCCTTCATGGCTGGGTAATTGCGGCAACGCCTTTTCGTGGCACAATTGTGACGTTTTCAACGGCAAAGCAGACTGCTTAAGCACTCTATATATAAGACAATAAACAGTCAAGATAAGGTTTAGTATCTATGATTCAATCTAGGGGGAAGAACATGAAAAGTAAATAAGCAAACTATAAAAAGAGAATGATTAAAATAATATCTATCAGATACATTATTATAATGGAGTAGCAAATTAAAATTATTTATTTAAAAATCCATAGCTCATTAGTTTGAATTTTAAATGATAGATAATGAATTAAATCTATACGGGACATATAGAGTCTGTTTACTGAGCTCTCGCAATTACTTTAATTTTTAAATGCAATTAAATAACAAATTTGTTATGAAAAATTTTTTTTATTCAATTAACATGTATTTGATTTTGTAAAAAATGTGAATTATTTTTTATAAGGCAAGATTCGAAACTGGCATAGTAGAGATTTAAATCGTTAAATGTTTTTTTTTTGAAGTAGCAAAAATTTAAGCAAACATTTTATTTATCACGTACTCGTATTTGTTCACATTTTATTAAAATTCCTGAACAACTTTGATGGATGAATGTATAAGAATAATCGCAAAGGCCTTTAAATAGTCCAGCAGCAAATCTTCACTCCATCAAATTGGCCCTCTTTCTTTGTGTCAGAGCCAGATGTCCTTTTAGCCGGCTGTTTCCCCACTTAAGTACAGTAAGTAAACGGATGTTGACTCGCCTGTTGTGTTTTTTATGTAAGTTGACTGGTGCAACGGTCGCTTTTTTCCCTTTTTTGTATTGTTCATATTGTTAATTGTTGGCGCGTGCTTTCTATTCATTTGTAATGCGGCTTAAAGTAATAAAATAATTAAATAATTATATTTTTTTGCTGCTGTTTTTAGCTTGTTTGGGGCTAATTTTAAATGTATGATTTAGGGGCTTTGTTCACGCGGGGCTTGTTCTTCTTCAGCTTTTCCCACGAAATGTTTTTATTTAAGTACGTCCAGACACACACGTCCTGCCCCATTCTTCAAAGGACCTCAACTGCGACTTTTGGACAGTTTTATGGCTCGCATCATTCCGTCTTTTGAGCTCTTGGCCCCAAAACTCTCACCCCTTTTGCCGTTCGCCTGGTGACTTATTGGCGTAAAAGTTTTAGAGCCGTTTGGCCAGCAGTTAAGGTCAAAGGCCAGTCGGCCCCAGAGCCTCGGATCGCTTTCTGTATTGCACCCAAATGTGCGCCATAAAATATTTTACTGTCGTGCATCTGCGGAGCGTTCAGATTCTCACTCGAAAAGCCTTTTCCCCCTCGACTCCGCTTTTTAATGGAGAGTAATGTGTATCGGTTCGTTTTGCTGATAGAATGCACAAGTAATGGCTGCAACAAATTTGAGAATTATTTTCAATGTAGCCTTTGACAAATAAACGTAAACATTTTGAGCACATCATTTGCATAGAAATTAAATATTTCTTAAAAGTCTCTTTATGTTGTATACAATTTGAAATCGAAATATATTTTATATTTATTTGTCACTTAAATATTTAAAAAGAAATTTTATTATTTCTTATTATTTTTATTTTATATTAAAAATAAATCATAAAAAATAAATAAATAAATAATAAATAAATTATATTTAACATTTTTATTAAAAATTTTAAGCAATCATTGAAATATTTTGTGCATCGAACTAAGCATTTTTTTTTATTGTAAGCTTTCTTAAAAAATTTAGTATTCTTACTTTATTAAAAAGTGCATTGAAATGAATATTTTATTTTATATTTTCCTTAAGAATTCCATGCTCTCTCTTTCGCTTTAAAAGGTGGCTTTAAATATCACGCATACGGCGTGTTGTTAATAAATTACCCAAATTATGGACGTGAAGTCGTCAGGCGCAATGGCGTCCCAAACTGTTGGTCCTTGAGCCGAGGGACCGTGTATAACCGGCTTGAAACCGAGCCGGATTTCCACTAGATGGTGAAAGTTGAAGGAGGGGAAGGGGGAGGGTTCAAGGGAGGGGGAGGGAATAAGGAAAAGGGGGAGACCGAAGTCGAGGTCGACGTGAAGTGGCTGCCGTTGACGGCGACGGCATCTTAATAAATTTCCATGCGCAACACTTTGACGTTATTAATACGCTGGGGCTTCGAGTGCCACGCACGCACCTAAAACCGCTAACCAAATGACGGCGAATTTTGCTTAATTACACGGCTTATCCACAGCAGACACCCGACTAGTGCGGTTGCCACGTGGAAAGGGCTGCCAGCCCAAGGATTCCGAAGGCAAAATTAATTTCGAACGTCACATAGTGTAACGATTGCCTTCTACAACAGGATACTGCTCTTCGCTCTGTATTTATTTGCTTAAAATTCGAATGGCAATTTATGTGTTACTGTGTTACACAAATAGAGACAGGTTGTGCCGCAAGAGTTGGCCTAATTGAATAAGGAGAAATTTCTTCGGCCACAAGTTCATTGAAATGCGCAAGGCGCACAAGCCTCACTAAATGTAAATGAAGTAGGGAATCTAATTTAGTGGCTAATTTCCCAGACATCTTAAGGCCAGTTCCGCCTGTCCGCCTGTCTCTCTGTCAGTTCTCAGAAATTTCAATAAAAAAAACTCACTTTTCACCTTATCATGTTTAACTGCCAAATTAGGAAACCTTACGTAAGCCCGCATGACCTGATACACTAGAAAAAATACTTGAGAGAAGTAAATGCGAACTTTACAGAACGATGAATTGTGCTTAGTATTGAACTGTTTGTTTTTTATTCAAAGAAATATTAATACTTAATATAAGTGCACAAAATATTTAATCATAGTAACTATTTTTTTTAACTAATCCAATTAAAAGCAATATATCTATTTCTTTTTCAATTAATTTCATATTAAATTTTTATATGTTATACGTTTTATATTCATTTATTTAAACATTTTATATTCCTTGTTTCAAATTCAAAACCCTTAATAATCTTAACAAATGAAATCTATATTAAGCTAAATTTCGCAACTAAAAGCCTCACTTGAAGAAAGGGGTAATTTTCATATATTGTATAGCTGGTAGTAATGAATTTCTTTGCATGTACTTCTAAATTGACTTGGCAAAGGCATTGATGAGCCCCGCCCGTCGATGTTAGCAAATAATCTTTCTGCTCTGGCATATTCTCACTGTCAACGGAATAATCAGCCGGGCGGACTGACATGTTAAGTCACTTTGTCGTCAAGACACACATTCGAACATCCTGACAACCCAACCAACCCACCATTTCCCACCAACCCAACCCACTAAACACAACAAACCAACAACAAGGACAACCCGACCAAAACTCAGCCCAGTCTCATTTTGCTGGCAAATTACACGTCTCGGATTTGAATGCTTCGGTTATTTCCTTTTGTTTGGCAGGGTGTTTGCTTGGGTTTTTGGTCTTGCGGCATTAGTTTAAATTAATATCAGGACACGGTGTGGCAGGCAACCCGCATGCACAATCACATCCCGACTCCCGAATCTCGAATCCCAAGTCTCGAATCCTCAGAGTCGTGTTCTTTTTGGGGCCTCAGTCACTTTGGCTTTGGGTTAACTAACGAGGGCGAAATGCGAGGCGATTGGAGCAATAACCTGAATTAAAATGTCTTGCCAGATAAACATTAATTGTTGACTAAACCAGGACAATTTGTGCAGCACCTGGGTCCTGAGCCCTGTGGCTTAAGGAAAAAGGGAGTCCTTAAAGGCAAATCCCGCAAAAAGGTAAGCAAGTGATGAGCTGATGATTTAAATTAAGGCTTTCTCTGAGCTTCAGGTAACCATAAATCTTATAAATCAGTTAAAGAGAAAGGTATACCTTTAGAAAATATAAACGTTTATTAAAATAATAAAAGCATCGATCGGTGAGCTTAAATTAGGGCGGCTATTTGTCAAATTCCATCGCAGACAAATTGGTCTGCGAGAAAATCGGCAAATAAGTCGGCGGATGGAGATCCCTGTTCCATTCTAAGCCACTCGTCGTGGTCAATACCCTTAATTTCGCACACGACCTTAAAGATTAATTCCTCCTTTTGAAAATAATAATTGGGTGAATTGCTATTCCAGTCCAGTAGATCCGCTTCCCGCTTAAGTTGCATTAGTTTCTCATCGCTGTGCTCCTCGGATGATTTTAGGTTGAGCAAAGCCAGAAATTCCGTCAGGTGAGACTGAGGGAAAAGCGGAGAAGTGTAGTTACATTGGAATATCATTTAATTAATCCTGGCTTACCACATTTGTCTTGCTGTTTAGCAGGTTCTCATCGTGGTCGAATTCAACCGCATTTTCGAAGCTGTTCATGGTTGCTGATTCCAGATTGGCAAACCGATTCGTCGGCGTTCTGAGGCAAACTGTCTTCGCTATCGGAACTTCGGGCTCGTCACCATTTATTGGCCTGCAATTTGTTTACATTATGCATGGAGTGAGTTGATTTGCTTCGCCACCCCCTCCACCCCTTCCCCCTTCCCCTAAATATCACCGCCCCTTCCCGGGGCTTCCTAAATGTTTGTTTTCGTTACCACTTATCGATGTCGCCTAGTCCCACTAAACATGCTGAAAGCTGAGCGTTTCGACACGTACTGAAAACAGAATCGCTTACTCAGCTGGCAAGTGTTTTGCAATAAATCCCTGACTTGCAATTAGTTAGACAGAAAAGTGCAATAATATATACACAAGGCTAGCTCTAAACAGTAATTTCTCCAGGGAGAAAAAATTTAAATAATGCAATTTGAATAAATCTAAAAAATAAACATTCATTACATTTTTTATTAGACTATTAAATAAGTCAAGTTTTGCTTACTAAATATACTCTTTTTTAATATAAGCCTTTCTTTTATTTTTAAATATCTTGACGTTTAATAAATATAAAACAACAACAAAATAAACTCTGAAGTACTAATGTGTTCATACCTATTTGAACTTAAATTTAATTGGAATGCCACTCTTACTTAGTTCAATTGTTCTGATTTACAATTAATTTATAGGTGTATGCCCTAGCATGTATTTTGAGTAAATTTTCGTATAAACAATTCAAGGGCATAAAAACATTAAACGTTTCTATTAAATGTTTCAAATGTTTTCTAAGAATCTTAAATGCCGCTGAAATATGACAATTATATTCCCCCACCAATTCGTAAACTTTGCTCAGACTCGATTTCAATTTTGTTGATTATTCCAAATATTGCGAAATTCATTTGTCAACCTTCCTATGAATATAAACAAACAAAAGTGAAGCGCGCTTTGGCAATAAATCAGATTCGAATTGGGCGCCCACAAGGAGTATGTTTACCCGGTAAAATTTTGATTTCTCGCATTGAATCACCCAATAAACCCCAAAGAAAAGTTGGAAGGCTTTATCCTCAAGTTGCTGCAGTGAAAAAGTAAATAAAACAGATATAACGCCACGTGAAATTCAAGCCAGCAAATATAAACAGACCCAGGAATAAAACGAAGGCATCGACTGGCGCTTAGATAAATAAATATTGAATGAGAATTGAGAATGCCTTTTGAGAAGAGTTGGAAAAGCAGAAGGTCGGACTAATAAAACTTAAAATTTCAGTTTTATGTATATACTTCGGTATTTACGGTTTGTTTGCATAAATTTTTAGGAATAACCAAAAGAGGAAGAAAACAATGAAGTGCTTGAGATATATTAAAAGTACAAAAACTAAACCAAATAACAAAAAATTCTATGGAACATTTTGTGGTTTTGCAGTTGGAATTTGCGTAGCTTTTGTAAAACTGGGAAAGTGAACTGCCTTTTAACAACAAGAAAACAAAAGGTAATTTTTTGTGTTTTCTAAAATTTGGGCAGTCAGTTAACTAGGAACAGTTGATTAAGTATGAATTCTTTATTTAAAAAAATTTAGCAGAACATTTATTGAACTGCAAATTCTAAGAAGTCTGTTATCACAATAGAATTTATATAATTTTTTGTAATGGAAGAGGAATTATTATTTACAACATTGTTGTTATATTTTACGGATTTGTAATTATTATTTGGATCCTAGATGAAAACTTTATAAATGTGTCTACCTTAAATTAAAAATGTAAATAATCATTTGATTAATTGAAACCTAACTCCATTAGGAAAATGATGAACATGGATTATGCGTCGTAATAAGATTAATTTTAAATTCTTTTGTAAGACACAAAAGTAATTTGTTTGGCAAACCCCAATTACCGTAGGCACTCTGAGCAGACATATTTAAATTCACTTAATTAAGTAATTATGTCTTGATTAGACGCCGAGGTATAAGCTAAATTGTTGCAGTCACACATGCCGATGTTACGCAGAATTGACAGCCAGGAACTCAATAAGCCGCCGCCTGGTGTCCTGGAGTCCTGGCCTTTGTGGAGTCCTTTCGGGGGAAAGGGAAGGGAGAGGAAGAAGGGGGGAGGGAGGGGAAAGGAAATGAAATAAATCAGGGCTCATTAGGAGCCTCGAGGTAAACACGACACATGTTGTTTGCGTTCGCATGTGCGATCTCGCCTATTTCAGTATTTCAGTATTTCAGTGCACCGAAGGCAAAGGCGAAAGCAAAGTCGACAGTCGATGTCAACTTAATCATCGTCAGGACAACGCATTCATCGCCGCCTTCGGGAGTGGAATTTCAACTCCTTTTCTGGCGATAACAGGACATATTGCCAGCTCATTACGCCCCAAACTGTCTGCAAGTGTGGGCGTGTCTAATGGGCATGCCTTCTTTTGCCAGTTTTCCACTTATTCTGCGGCTGGCCTCCCATCCATTGCCAGCGCCTCTTTGTCTGGGCCCTAATAATAGCAATATTACACAAGTAATTAGTCACGCATTTAATTATTATTTATGGCCCATGTCACTGTGTGTCTCGCTTATCTTTCCTGGGGACTCCCCGATTCCGATTGCGATTCCGAGTCCTTTTGCTGCTCCTTTGTCTGTACGCATTGTTGCCATTTTAGCTTATTTTAAGCTAGATTTAGCATATTTTAAAATGAAATAGCTTGAAAAATACTTGAAATGCATATAGCTTAAAATCTGGCTTATTTCAAATTTAATTTAGCTAATTTTGGCTTAAAAAATTGTATTATAATTTTTGGTAATTTTTATCGATAATTTGGACAAAAGCATATTTTGTTGTTGGTATTTTAATAATAATCGTTAGCAAGTCTCGGTCACACTGAAATTTTGCACATGTTTGATTTGCGATTGTTGTTGCGTCGTTTTAGAAACATGCCGAAAGTGACTTACAAACAGAATTTCCGCGATTCTTGGTTAAATTTCGAAGAATTGCCAAAGTGCCAACTGACTCCACAAAAGCGTACTGCTGCTTTTGTAAGGTGTCGATTGGGGCCAAGTTATTTGAGTATGAACATTGTTAAATCAAAAATGCGCAACAAAATGTCTTTAAAAAGCTTAAACGCAATTTTAAGAATAAGGTTTGTTTTTGAAATTTTAAATTATTTAAAAAATACAAAGTATTTTTGTTTTAATGTTATAGATATGGACTGCGACGTCATGGAAAATGTTGCCATGAGTACCAACTGCCAACAAAATACCTCGCTTTAATACAATCTTCGGCAAAATATAATGAATCTAATGAGGAAGTTGATAAAATTATTTCTTTAATTTAATAGTTATATAAATATCGTATTATTAAAAGTAAAAAATCAACTATTTTAATGTTTTCCATGGTTAGCTTATTTTAAGCTTTTTTTTTTAATTTTTAGCTTATTCTAGCTTATTTTTTTCTTCAATCTAGCTTATTTTATCTCTCAAAATCTGGCAACACTGTCTGTACGTGTGCCTAACAATTATTACATGTAATTATCCACTTGAATGCCTGTCCCCGAGTCGTCAGTGAATTTATGCGACACATCAGATAAAAGTTAGTAGGTCTGCTCTCGGGATTGGCATTCCATTAACATATGCATGTCTGAGTTAGTAAATTATGAACGAAATCTACATAGCTATTTTGGGAATATTCTTCATGTCTTCGAGTTAATATATTCTGGCAGACTTATTCCGGATTGCGTGGGATTATTTGTATAACAAGTAAAAGATTCTTAAATCAATAGAAGTTGGGAAGGAAAAATTTAAGACTTATTGTGTTTTAAATTATAAAATTTCTTAAAGCAGAATCATTCCAATCACAAAAGAGACTTGAGACATTGATTTGCAATGATTTTATAGAACTTATTTATTCACTTAAATCAATATTATTTTTTTATTATAAGTAAAAACGTATGGTTTGGTATATGTTTTGAAACTGATAATAGTATTCAATTGAAGCTATTTTTTATTTAAATAAATATAATATCTTTTGAATTTATTTTCTGTGCCTAACTCACTTTAATTCTATTCATTCAGGGAACTCCCAATTAATAATAATTAATTGTCCCTAGCAATAAATTCAAACCTATTAAGTCCAATCCGATCGAATTGTTTGATAAATACATGGGCACAGATGTCGATTGAACCCGATTGACTGGGTTGAAGTCAAACTCGAATCACGTAAATCAACGTGGCCGAATCCCAAGATGTTGGCCACCCAGAAACTTTCATCGATTAAAAACTTTTTCGGGGGAAACCCAGCTAGGCATTATCAGCCAGCTATCAAAAGGGAAAACTTGTAGTCGACAGCTGCCGAATGGAAAAATGAGATTTGTTTGTTGCATAATAATTGGGGAGCCACTGGAAGCCACTGTTCGTTCGCCGGCGAATTGAAATGCCAAAAATCGCAAGGCCGGAAACCAAAAATAATACGCCAGATTGGCAAAGTCAAATCTCTGTTGATTGGCCCGGCACGTTTCCCTGTCAGCTGTTTATTGAGGCGTGATATAATTAGCATAACATCGACACGGATTCCCCAACCAGAGGAAGTACAAAAAAAAAAAAAGAAAAAAAAGAAGAGAAAAGAAAGCAAAGAGCAGGCTTAGACGCAATTTGCTTAATGCTAAAACTTTTAATCACTCATACGCTCCGTGGCGCCAAAGAAAACGCCTGAGAAACGTCAGCGGAGGAAAAACAAATTTTACGTCAGAGGAAAGATGGGCTGCCATCCGCTTTTCCAGCCCCCCAGGATAAATAGTAAACAAAACGTTGGGCGAAATGAAATAAGTGTAAATACGACAAAAATACACTCATACACACACGCACACACACTCCGAAATGCTCACTCAAATATGTATGTATGCGCATCTGATTAAATACAAGTACGTATGTGTGTGTGTGTTGGGGCCTTCTTATATGACTCTTATCCCCAAAGGATGAAGGACGTGGAGGATCGGGGGCAGTTGCAGCCCCTTTGGGTCTCAACTGCCCAAAAAAAATTGAATTCATCTGCTTTGCCTTAAGCTCGAGCTTAATTCCTGCTTTGACTTCTGCAATGCACACTCAAAACACTAAGTACAGTAAGGCCTCGGGAGATAACAATCCTACAACTTGTTAATTAAAAGACAAGAGGATTTCACAAACTATCAAAATAATTCAGTTTGATTTTCTTTAAGAATTGATTTTCATAAATATTTTTTTCCCATATGTTAACAAAATATATTTTAAGTTTTTTTTTAAGATATCCAGCCCGATCTTTTTAATGCTTAATTTAAGCTGAGAATATTTCTAATATGTTTAATTTATTTAAAGGTATTTAAAGATTTTACGTTCAGTATTCTAAAGACTCACAATTATTATTTATTAAATGATTAAAATAATCTACATATTACAATATTTACAAATTCAAAGTGCTTACTGTAGGATTTCATTAACGTTCAGCCCTTTGTAAGAGTATTAATCTGGGTATTTTAAACTTGAAAGAAATGCCGAAGTATTTTTTAATAACATTTTATCAAAGTAATTAATATATTTATATGTCTTTAATCTCAGTGACAGTTAGAAGTCTTGTACATTGCTAAAATTCTTTTCACAGTTTGAAATACTTTTCACAATGAAAGGGTGTTTGAAGTTTGAGACCCCAAAAATGCGACTTTGCGTCTTTTCTTGTGGTTTTTCCGTTCTTCAGATTACAATGTAAGCTGCGGCGCGTTAAAGTGCGACTGTGTGTGGGTTTCCACTGGGTTTTTCTTTTTTTCCAAGGGAAATGGGGCTGTGTGTGCCGACCTATTTGCTTAAACACACTCTAACTGGCACTCAGCCCCCCTTTCTCTTCACTTCCTCATTTCTCCACTTGGCCACGCCCCCGAGGAAGGAGCTGCGCCCCCTGGAAAATGGCTGGCTACGTCTTCTACTTTCTACTTTCCACTCTCGCCCCTCATAACACATTAGCGAAAGTGAAAGCCGCCATAATGACTGCCCCCAGTTGATTTCCATTTGGCTTTCGTGTCTGTGTCATACATTTATATTAGTTGAGCGAGACACCAAAGGCGAGGCGAATGCAAATTGGCGGGATTGAAAGTGATGATGAGATGGGTTTCCCACTTTTTTGAGCCACCGAAAGGTGTTTATTTAAGTTGTTGCTGCCGAAATGTGGTGGCTTAAATCGTTACAGGCTTAACTTTATTATATTAGGTTCATTATCTTGAAACTCTTCCTTATGTTTTTTTTTGTTTCTTTAAAAAGTGTTTATTTAAGTCTTTAATGGCGGAACAGGGTGGGCCAATGAGTAAAAGGTATATGTATTTAGAAATAGGTTAAAGCAATATTAGTTGTTTTTATTTGAGTATTCTATTGAATAGCTAAAATAATATCATAAGAAGGTTTAGTTGAACATTTTATTGACTCTCTAATGTTATCACAACGAATTCTTAACATAAGATGATTTGTTGAACCATATCTATTTCCGTAAAAAAATATTTAACAAAACAATATTACATTTTTTAAATGGGAAAGGGTTAGTGACGGAAAGTATCTGTTCTTGTCTTTCATATTTCAAATGCATATATGAATTTAAAAGCGAGGAAAATCCCATTCTGCCGGATGTTTTCCCAAAAAGTTTAAAAAACACACACAACCCGATAATCAAAACGGTTGGAGGAATCCCAAAATTCCAATGAAAAGGCAACACACTCGCATACTCACCAAAAAGTGCTTATGGTAAATCCCCGTCTTTCCTTCCGGTGCCAAAAAAGTTGTAAGCAAGATGAAAACACAATTTTGAAATGTCAGTCAAACATAATAGGAAATTCATGGCCAACTACTTTCGTTGGCGTTTTCAACTTAGTAAATCTTATTTGCCGTTGCCTGTCAATTCAGTTGCGTTCGTGTTTTCGCTCCATCGACATCCACATCCACATCCACATCCCCATTTCCATGGAGGTCGCCATCGACATCGCCATCGCAATTTCCCTCCCAGGAGGACAGAGAAAAAACAAACTTTTATTAGTTTTCCGGCCGAACGTTAACCGTATTAAAAAGCACTCGGCGGCAGTCAACATTAGTGGATTCAACGGAATATGCGGCATCATAAAGCAGAGTGTGCCGCACAACTGATAATCGAGGAGGAGCCACAGCAACAATAGAATGGAAATTGAAAAAACTGTGGCCCACTTATTCGGGCCTCAAAGTGCCCCGAACTTCTTCAAAAACGCATAAAAAATCCAACGGCAAGAGCCATGTGCGCAATAAATGTCAGCTACAAACGAAAACTTCACATGTTTTTCCTATTTCTTTTTTTCTGCTTTTTGCTTAACTTCCTTTTCCAGGACTTCCGTTTTGTAAGTGTGTGTGTGTGTGCGTGCCAATTTGTAGAGCACACTTATGTGAGCAGTCGAAGAAAGCCTGTCCCCGCACAAATTGAAATCCGCCATAAATTGGCGAACGGAGGCTGACTGACTGAAAAGAAATAAAGCAAAGCAAAGTCGAGTCGAGTCGAATCGAATCGAGCTGATGACAATTTATTGTTCACACTTGCAACTGATGATGGTGCTTAGGGGAATATACAAAAAGCAACGTGTGTGTGTGCCACGTGTGTGTGCCACGTGTGTGTGCATCGTGTGTTTGCCGGGGAATATTTCATTGTCTGGCAGTGTCTAAAAGTAGGCTCTACAAATTGCCAGCCATTATTTTGCGCCTATGCCAATACCCCGAAATGTATTTCCTATAGCTGTGCGATTTAGAGTTGACAGAGTAGCTAAGGAATATCGGAATTTCCTTTTAAAATAAGGAATAAAAAAGTATCGATACAACTTACAAAGTAAGATCGGTTAAAGCCAGCATGATTCATATAAATATAAGCATAATTACAATGTGTTGAATTTTATAATAATAACAATATTTAACATACAATTTTGCAACTTTTTTCAAGCTCACAAATGGTTTGTTTTGTTTGTTTATAAAAAAAAATATTCAGCCAAAATTAGCTAAAAATTATTTGCATGCAAGTTTTTTGATAGAGCGTACAAAATACGAAGATTTATGCACATTAGCTATTATTCTGATTAAATTAAAAGCATTGTTTGGTTATCAGTTTTAGCTCTCATTATTTTATTTTAGCAGCATCGCAATGTATTTTTGTTGCGACATCTGGCTGTCGAAAATTTTCAATGCAAATATAATTCATAAAATTATCAAAACACGTATGTTGTAGTTCATTTACCTAAACGCTTAGTTTGATTTTTATAAATATGTAATTTTTGTATGGCTGCACTCTGTTTTAAAACCCGCTGCTTTTATGTACATTTTTAATACCTCTTAACACTCCCCGTAGTTAAAGAAGGTTGTCACTAATCGTTAGACTAAAAGACTAAACGCTTAACAGGAAACTCGCGAAACCTCTAAGGACATTAGAACAAAAGGCTCGTCGCCTGAAAGTAAGCAAAAGCGACTCGAAAGGCATCACTTTGCCCATTTGTTCTCCCATACTCGTACATATCGGGATGTAAATTCATTTTATTTGTCTTATTCTATGACTGTGCAGGTGTGCCGACGATTTTCACTTGTGCGTCCTGTGCTCCTGGCAGGCGATGATTTAAATGGCCGGGAAGTTTAGCCGACTTGGGTGTTTTCGCCCCTTCTCGTTTTCACAACTTTTGTGGGGGAGAACTAAAAGTTCGGCGGAGAAGCCAGGCGAAACCCTAGAAAAGTTCCGCCCAAATACCACACACAATAAATGGAAACTTTTATGCCTGCCAGACAATATGCCTTAAATCTTCTGATTAAAGGTGATTCCTTTGCTCGCTCGCGAAGGCTCAAAAGTTCGCACCGCACCGCAAGAAAACTGGACTGCGGCTCGTTTAACACATTTAAATTCATGCCAGACAGCAGAAATCCACTTTCCGTTGGCATTTATGAGTTGTTGCCTCGGCTATAACGCTTCTGCTTCTGCTTTTGCTTTTGCTGCTTTTGCCATTACGGCTACTAAGTCTCGGCTAATAGCGGCTTTAAAATTTATAGAGTTTTCGGACTGGCAGACGGCTTAGGAGGCCGAAGTGATTGCCCCACCGAGCGGGTCGACTTAATATTTATTCCGCCTTGGTTGTCGGCTGATGGTATCGTGAATAAGACACAACTGCAATGTGATACTTTTTCGAGTTCCTTGGGTTTTGGGTCACCAATTAGAAGCTTACCAAATCCCTTGGAGTTCTCATCTTTTTCTTTTCTTTTTTCTTCATATTTTATAAGGGGTAAGGGTATCCATAATTTGGACAGCTCACCGGGGAGCTTCCCATCCTTTGTTATTTAAGGCGTGGGGCTCGGCTTGCCTTTTGACATATTATGCCATAATTCCTGCGGCAAAACGTTTAGTTGAGCTACATAAATAATAAATATACACAAGGTTCTACACACACACAAACACAACATGACATATTCGGGGTTTTTTGGGACCTTTTCCGGCCGATGATGATGGTGTACGTGAAAGTATCTTTTCTTGTCTTGGGTCTTGTGATTTACAAGGTTTCAAGTTGGCGGTGCTTCATGCTCGAACTGCCTGGCTTTTAATTTGCATTTTGCTAGGCTCAATTCGTGCAGCAAAATTGTTTTCGCAAAGATTTAGCATAAAATATTGAAAACATTTAGACAAAGTAATAGCAATGTGCCGGGGACTTATGTTAAATTTATTTTAATTGTTTTTTTTTTGGCGCCTTCTCCATCGTTTTTCGTTTTTGGCTGTTTGGCTGCTCCACATCGATATGCAAATTTGGGCAAGTCCAAGTGACTCCGGGGTAAATCGAAAAAGTTTTGATCTTCGAGTAAAAACTAATAGTCGTAAATATTTATGTGTGCCAATGTTTGAGCTTAGAAATGTGTCCAAAGAGCTCAGTGCGACTTAGTTGCAATGGCAGCGGGTAGCAGTTCAATCTCAGTACTTCTGCGATGCCAGACCGATTTTTATCAAATCTCCACTTTGGATTTAGGCAGCCGAGATGCCTTCCTCCTGCATTGCTAATGAAATTAAATTGAAACTTTGCCGGCCCAGAATTTGTGACAATGTTGGCAGCGCAAGTATAAGAACTCAAAGCAATTGGTCTGGCGGAGCATTCATTAACAAAGGGATTTTCAAAGTCTAGTCAGGGCTGTTCCAAATGGCTTTCGGCCGGGTGAGTTAACATGGTAATAACAGTTAAACCTTTGAGTAACGGTTCGCCAGTATATAAAACTTTCGATATCCAAAGAATTGTAGTGCATACTTGCAGCTCACTGGATTTTTAAATAGGATCTTTTTATACTACAAATTTGTTTGTAGTATTTTTAATGAAATTTCATTTGAAAAATTATATGGAATATTCACACATTAATTGTTGGTAACATTCAATTTCAGTTCTTTTGGTTTTAAAATACGATTTTTGACTTAATAAAAAATCTATAATGGTAAGATCTATATTTTAAAAGATGTATTTATAATTAACCGTACAAAATTTGTATTAAACTGCTTTTCTAAATTATCTTTTCTGTTTTTTTTTTTTAGTTAGGTAACCAAGTGAATTTTGAATCATTAATTTTATAAATTCTAAATAAATTCGATTGTGTGATACTGTTAACCATTCCTACAATAAATAATATTGACTTATTGTAAATCTATGAGCTCTTATAAATGTCCATGCTTTTATAAATTATTTCAATTTTTCCTAAATTTAAAAAGTAACTGATGACTGAGATTTCAAGCAAATTCCTGGCAATTAATAGCCAGTGGGCACCAATGAAGTAACGCTCCACTTTTCCTCCACGAGCCATTATGCTCGTTCGACGCCTTTGCAGAAAATGTCTGTGAAAAGTGAGGACATTAATCTTGCTGCCACATAGGAATTCATGTGAGCGAGACATTTGCCAACAGCCTTCGGCGATGGTGCACTTTCAACTTCAACACGTTGCAGAGTCCCAAAGAACGAAAGTCGCGAACGGATGTGTTGAATAGTATGGTACGAGTACTCGTATGTGTTGTATGCGAAATAAGCCGTATAATCTTGGGCCATCTCGGCCGGGTCCATTTAGCAGAGACTCCCTAGCCGAAGGCGAGTTTGCTTTGGCCACAGAAAACTTCAATGGGTCTGAGCCTCAAATATGTTTGGCTGGCCACTGGCAAAACGATACTCCGCTTAAACAAATATATCCAAAGAAAAGCAAGGCAGAAGAAAAAAAAATAGCAGCGAGAAAGAAATGGAAAACCTCTGGGACATGCTTCCGCACAAGAATGTTGGGCAAAACGCCCACGGACGCCTTTTGATATGCAAAATAAAAATTGTGAACAACGATTTTAATAAATATTCCCCACACACCCACTCGCCATTGACGATAGACCGAAAACAGACAGACAGACGACTAGAGATCTCCTCGAGGACATTGATAGAACGGGCTGCTTATTGAATTTTTCAAAAGCTCTTTTCTGCTGTTAGCCATTTCCCTCGAGCAGAACGTGTTTAAAGTGTTTTAAGCCAACTGATTTTAAAGAGCTTGGCTGCATCCCTTTAGAAAGGTGCTTGTCGGATTTTTTCGGATTAAGAAGGCATTTGAAAACCGCCCTACGATATAAAAATATAATCTGAAGCTGATTTCTGGATAATAAGTTGTACTGTTGAAAAGATAAATTAAATCAATAAAAACTATTTAAAAAAGGCTTAATTTACATATATTTTATTCTTTTTAATTCTCATTGCAATTAAACAAAAATGTATTGAAAAATTTGTCTTTTTTTATTGTAATAAAAACAATATTGTTTTTGATTTCTCTCTAATAACCATTAAATTTTACTGCAAAAAAGCTGCTTAATGTTAATCAAAAATGTTTTGTACTTTGCGTCAGCTAAATTTACCTTAGGTTATTACCTGTAAATTCGCTAAAAAAGTCAACATAAAACTATTTAAGATCTTTTTTTTTCTCCATTATCTGAAGAAGACGGGTCATCAACACTATTATACTCAGTCTGGTGAACCTTTGTCATTCCATTATCATTGTCTATTACCAGGAAAATCCTTCAAGGTTGAATCCGCTTATATATTTACACCAAAGCCGAAAAGTAAACTCGTCTCAAAATTCATTATGCTGACAAGGGGTGCCAAATTAATCTTAGCACTCAAAAGAAAAGCCGATTTTCCGTCTGCAGGAGATCGATTTCGGGGACAATCAACGCGGTGTTTTTTGTTGCGCCGGTTAACCGAGGGCTTTATTTGTCTTTTATGACCCCTCTTGAGAGGTAAAATAATTTTTTTGCCTGCTGTTGATATTTGCACAGCAGTTAAGGAGAATAAAAATGTACGGCGGCGGAAACAAAGCATGAAGTTTATGACAGAAGTGTGGAAAAAAGCGGAGTGGATGACGACCATCAACCGCAGCCATCGGGTAACCAACCAAACCTAGCCATTAAGCTCCTCCTCCGCTGCTTTGCAATCAAGTCAACATTTTTGGCCCGAAACAACACAAACACAGAAAATGTGGCAAAAGGCAAAAAAAAAAAAAAAACGAAAAAAAGCGAGGCAACGGTCGATCGTTAAATCAAAAAGCCGCATGCGAGTGCCTGCAACATCATTAGTTGCAGTTCACACACGCTGAAGAGCAAGTTATGCCACCAGATAGTTGCCCCAAACCGCACCCGAAACTCATCGAGCGCACCTCTTTTTTTTCTCTTTTTTTTTTTTTACCAGTTTCCCAGTTTTCCCTCGCTTTTTGAGGCACTCGCATGCGCCGCCATTTTTTGCGAGGTGTCCAAATTAAATTTGCATCAGTTGCTCCACGAGCATCTAAATGATGCCAAAACTGAAACTGCAACTGTGTGAGTGCAGCATTGCTGCTAAAACAACAACAAATGCCAACAACAACAACAACAGTAACGGCAGTTTTGGGGCAGAAGAAAGGAGTGCAGGATGCAGCTGCAAAAAGTGCTGCACTCACTTTGGCATTTCGTATCTAGTTTTATTTTTTTGCAAGAGAGTTTTTTTCATGTTTAGACTACTTTTCCATAAAAGCGTAGAGTTCTTTTGCCGCACATTTTACAGTGAGCATTGTCCAAGCGAAACTCTGCTATAGTTTTTATGGTGCTTCAGTCCGATTCAGTATTTGTAATCGGCTTTCCATCGTTACTGCCACTTTTTTGGGCTTTACTCTTTATGGACTTAAAATATTGGAAAGTTTTTTAAAACGATGTTAAGGTGTAATGTAAAAATTTAAATAAATGTGAAATTGGAGGACATGGAATAATATTAATGACTTGAATTATTAAAACTACTTTACGACTTATAAAAACATATAAAAAATAATAATAATTAAAAAATCTTTACAAAGAAGTATTTTCTGATTGAAATGTCAATGAAAACTAATAATATAAAGAAGTGATTTTTAAAACCTATTCTTTGAATTTGTAATCCTCCTTCAAAAAAACATTTAACATTTTTTTACATATCTTACATATCACATTTTATTATAAAATATATACGCCTGTTTATATATAGGTACGTATTTACATACGTATATATTTTATTATGTTTAAAACCTAATCAGTTTAACTTAAATTGAACATACATATCTTAAATAGGTATTGTTATCCTAAACGTATACGCAATATTTAAAAGTGCACATTTGTTTGCATAAATTTTAAAACAAATACAAAATTTTTAATTGGATTATTTAATAGTATTTTTTTTATCAAATTACCAAATTAATGTCAATTGTTTAGAGCACAGTTGTTTTCTCCTTAGTTGATAAACAAGTATAAAATGGATGTGACTAAGACGTGACCCACTGTGTGTAAATATATTTGTGTGTGGCTATTTCAGTCCCCTTCTTCCTCCCACCTTCCACACATACGTATGCATGAGTGTGCCTGTATGTGTGTGCTTGTGTGTGTGTGCGGGGGGTGGGCACTTAAATAATTTAGATTTTTGTGTCTAACATGCACAAGTGCCACCCCAATGGCCTAAAAGATTCAAGTGCAGCCGGCAAAAGTGAGTGACCCAGTTAGAGATTCGAAGCACTGGCAGTAGGAAGTGGACGGATATGGATGTGGATATAGAAGTGGATGTGAATGTGGGTGGTGAAAGGGGGAATGTGGGTGGGGAAAGGGGACTGGGATGGGTGATATAGATGTGGAGGCTGGCTGGCTGTTTGCGAGTTATGGTGAGTTAACACCGAATACCTGGCCATTATCAACAAGCGAGTCGCGTCGCTGTTCGGCGACTGCTCCGCTGCCATTATGCGCTCATTAAAATGTCAAATAAATTCAAATGCAGAAAACATGATTTTTCGCTTCTCGCCAGAAGGTGCAAATGCGAATGGGAATGCCAGTGCACGGCTTTTTCGCACGTGAGGTGTGAATTGCAGGCGGTAATTTCACCGGGAGTACGGAATATATAGTAGATAGTCCGTGCCGCATCGCTGCTCCTCAGTGATTTATAATTTAAACGCGTTCTTTGAACTTTGCTGAACCTCGCACGTTGCGGTTTGGCAATGAGAATAGTAAAACGAACTTTGAATACAGGTGGTCTCTACTAAGTATCTTTGAAGTTGAATCGATTTTTTTTTTTTTTTAGTTGGCACAGAAAAATATTATAGTTTTATCTTGCAGTTCAAGTTTCTGTTGGTTTTTTCCTGTCGTGATTTCATTTTTAAATTCTCTTTTCCTGAACTGAGTGACGATTTGGGGTCTTTCCGGCTCTTATGCTTCTGCATCCTTGTTTAGAGAAGTATTGCCACTCCAGGCATTTGATAGCACTCACATTCTTTAATTGAAAACAATTTCCATTGTTAAGCTGTGTCTTCCGAGTCGAAAGAGGCAAGGAAATCATTTAATTGCTTGCCATATGAGATGTGTATAATTATCACGAGCGATTTCCCCATTGTGCCGGCTTTATTGCTCTGTCTCTCGCTTTTTGTCCTTTCATCTTAACGAGCCGTAAAATGGTATGTCATCGTGCATTTTTGAAATGAATTCGAGTGACAGCACCCGTTTACACACAGAACTAACTCTGGGAAATAGTTTCTGGTCTTAAGGATGAAGCATTTTTACTGAGCATCGAGTGGCATTTAATTAATGTTCTCCCCTTTAAGCTATTTCCTTTCCTTTTCCTCTTTAAAACCACCAAAGGGTTAGCAGAAAATGCAGTTCCCTTAGAACTGGTTGGCTTTATCTAGATGTTTTGGCCAGCAGTTGCGAGATTGCCATCACAAATTGGTATTCAAATGGGTTTAGTGGCTTTTAAAGGGGTGATGAAGGGATAAAAGGGAAAGCTCTTAAGTTAATATTGAATTTAATGTACTTTAAAAGAGAAGTTTTTATTTTGGTAATGAATTTTCATTAGTAAACCGATTAAAGCACACATAAACTGAAGAAATAGGAGCATTTAAGTTCTTAAAATTGAAGATTGAATTTAATATAAATTGCTTTAAAAGTTTAAATTTTCTTAACCCAATTTTTCTTCTTATTACAGCTCACATTGTGGACGGAAATAACAACCTGTTGCCAATTGTTTCTGCGCCATCGACCAACGACAACGATTACGTTTACATTGCTTCGGTCAACAGCAAATTTCCCCAGTTCGGAAACGCTTTGGACGATGACCAGGATGCCGAGGAGCAGCAGCCAGATGAGACCACCTATCCGCCGCCAGTTTTTGATTTCGGGATGCCGAGGAATATCACAACCAGGACGGGACACACGGCGGCCATCAATTGCCGCGTGGAAAATCTGGGAGATAAATCGGTGAGTAGCGGAGAGTCAAGTGATTGCATTTTCCCCAGCTTATCATTGAAAACATTTTTCCATTGGCGGATTTTCATTTTAATGCATTTTTAAGGGCAATATTTGGTTCATCGCCAGTCAAGCTGAAAATCAAGTTAGCGCTAACTTTCCTCATGCAGTTTTCCTTCAACCAACTTCTATCTGCCTTCTTCATCGCTTTTGGATCTTGGCCACCCTTGTTTTGCCGGTTCAATGACAAAGTTTATGCCCCGCCCCTCGGAACCTCCTCCATTCTGGTCTTTGACCATCGCCGAGTTTACTTTGTGAACTCATTTTCTTTTCACTCAGCTCCCCCTATTTTCATTTTCATTTTCTTTAAGCTTCATGTTCCCGCGACTGTTTGAGTTTAATCCGATTTTTCGTTCGATTCTCTTTATAAAACTAGTTTGCACTTGATAAAAACAAGAGAAAAATTTCATAAGAAGAAAGAAAGCTACTGATAATCGAGACACAAACTTTTGACATTTCTGATTTGAAGTTTTCTTTATATTATTGCTTACATTTTGAAGAGCATTTTTTTTCACTGTACAGATAGTTTTTATGGCAAGTTAGTTTGATTACGAATAATTGTTGTCTTTGAAAATTGTAACTTTTTTTTTCAGAAACTTGTTTAGAACAGTTATGTTACAAAGGAATCTTTCAATAATTGAAAGATGAAATATTTAATATCATTAATGTAAAGCTACTTTAAAATTCAATTCTTAAAGAGTTATGAAAGTGTTGACAAATTAAAAAAATGAAACAAAAATTTATACAATACTTTGGATTTAAAAGCTTAAGAAGGTAGAAATTGATTAAAACTATTTGAAACCATGTTATTATTACCCATTTAGCTCTATAATCACTCTTAACTGTTCAAGTATTCCCTGAAAGGTTAATTAGTAATCCTTTTTGGGTAATTTTTAAGTGCAGCTTGTCTGGGTCTTCAGTCTTCCGTCACCTCTTGTGACCGTGTTAACCATCTTTTGCAATCACCATCAATCTCCTGCTCACCGGCAGCGTGGTCTGATCCAGATTTACTATCGCACACCTTGTGGGTCCATCTATTTCCCGGGAGCGCGACTCAGATGCCGTTCCCTTTCGCCACTTTGACACTTTTAGTTTCGCTTATATCTCGTCTGGTTTTCCTCGCTTTTCCCCCTTTCCCCCTTTTTTTGTTTTTTTTTTTTTTTATTTTCCGCAGCCTTTTGGGGCCCCGAAAAGTTTTGTTTGCCCGCGGCCGTCTGGGAGATTACTTTTTGCCCGCTGCAGTGGCGATGGTGGGATGTCCTTTCAATTCGCCTGGTATTTTGCGGGGCTTTTGGCAACTTTAAGCCGCTGACATTTTGGGCACGCACTTGTCTCCATTTTTCTTCCCCCCATCTGCTCTTTTTCCACCGTGCTTTTCTCCAGCTTGCCGTCTTTTACTGGCTAAAGGAGAAAAAAAAGAGAAAAAAGTGAAGAAAATTGACTCAGTATAAGATACGGTGAAATCTGCTTTCAGTTAAGATCGCAGGCATTTCCGAACCATTTGCAGTCGATTCCAGAGTTCAATTTGATTGTCTTTTTCGTAAATATCGAATCCCATTAAACTTCGCAGACAGTCACCCTTCAAAATGTAATAATCTTTCGGGAGAAGGTGCCACTTTGCGCCAGGTTCCACTGTATTTGCAATAACCGTCAGCAGGTTTAAGAGTTGCCTGCTTAGTTCATTTTGCCGCTTGGCTTATTAAATTTTCGTATCTGGGAGCTCTCGTCGAGTTCCTGAGCAGTCGAGTGGCAGGACCAGAGGCAATTTTGAAAATTGACTTAAGCACTAACAGCATTTGGTGTCCCTTTTTTTTCCTCCTCATCGTTATATATATATTTTTTTTTTTGTGATTCTATTGCAGGTATCCTGGATACGAAAACGCGATTTGCACATTCTGACTGCAGGCATTTTGACCTACACCTCTGACGAGCGTTTCAAGGTGCGTATACGTAATCTGGGCCAAAGTTATCCCAACCGCTTTCCCTTATTCGCAATCTTGGCCAAGGCAGAGTGCTAGGTGGCTGTAGCTGTAGCTGTAGCTTATTAAATGTCCGCCAGGCTTGTAAGCCAAGTCAGCTTAATTGCGTATGCAATTCGGGCCAAAAGCAACTTGTATGCATTGATTAAATTTGCCAAGGACTCAGGACCCCCGAAACCCAAACCCATTCCCCATCTACGATTTATCTTGGCATCCTGTTTCACCCACTCTCTTGTGCTCTCTCTCCCTCTTTCTCTCTCCCTGTCTGCTTTGTGTTCTATTAATGCCATCTCTTTCCCACCCGGGCAGGTGGTGCGTACCGCCGACTCCAAGGATTGGACATTGCATGTGAAATATGCCCAGCCACGTGACAGCGGCATCTACGAATGCCAAGTGAATACGGAGCCAAAGATTTCGATGGCATTCCGCCTGAATGTCATAGGTGAGTAAAGCAGCCCTCTCTGCTCCATTTCCCCATTCCGAAGGCACCTGGAAACACAATCCCTGTCCTCTCCCACAATCCTACACTGAAACAAAACTCATAAACGTTTGCAAAGTGGAGAAAGTTATTCATTGAAGTCATGTTGAATTTGTATTGAAAATTTATTCATTTTTAGAACTGTTTTATTAAATTAATTTTAAGTTTATGAAAGCAAATACTTCTTAAAAGCGGTATAAATTTTATTATTAAGTATGTATATACAGACACGGATTCTTGGAAACTTAAATATTTATTTTGTCTTTCTTAAAAATTTTTGTGTAAACTCTTCCCAAAAAAATATATACAAAAAACTTTATTAAATTTGTATGTGTATCATAAATTATATATAATTTCTTGGTGTACTTTTTTTTCTCGAAGTGCACCCCTCCTTCACCAAATGCATACGCATTGTCAGCAAGTTGCTGGCATTCGCAGGACCTGCAATGGCAACATTTTATACACTCTGCATTTCACTCCCAGAAGCGAAGGGCTTTGTAAATTGGCCGTAAACTTTGCTAGTTTTTTGAGGGCTTGGCAAGATCTACTGAATGCGGAGTGGGTGCAGCAAAAGTTCATTCTTCGCTATATGGAAATGTCTGCCCGTTCGTCATAATGGTTTATCCCTGCCATCTAGGGCTTTCTTGGCATCAGTGGAATATTTCTTGCCGGTTAGTCAACGGCAGAAAACGAGGTTTGCTGCAGGATATTATCATACTTTCGATTTGCGGAAAGCGAAAGTTTTTCACTTTGTTGAATATTATAGTGGTCAGCGGGAAAGTTTTTTAAACTTGAGGCATTTCAATTATTTCTTTAAAAAAATCAAAACTAAATACAATTTTAGAGCTAGAAAAGGGAAGCTTTAAAATTGAAAGGAAACATTTCATTTTAGTTGTTAGTCTTGAGGTGAAAGAATAATAGTTTTGTAGCGAAACCAAACTTAAAAAAAAACAAAAACTATGTTTAAATAGAGTAAAAAAGACATTGTTATAAGTTAATATAATCATAATATGATACAAAAATTATACAGTTATTACTATTTATTTATTTATTATTATCATACAAAAATACTATTTATAATCACTTTACACCTCAACATTTATTTATTAACAAACTACCTGTAACAGCTTCTTACTCCGTTGACCCTAGATTTTTCTACTAAGCATTCTTTTTTAAATAAATACAAAATACGAAAATCGAAGTCAGGCCGAAGACCCAGAGACTCGTTTCAGTAAAAATTCCCACAAATAAATTGATCAAATATTCGTGTTTTAGTATGCACAGAGGCTGCCGTTCGCAAGTGTTGTGGGGTTAAGTTTTAAAGGTGAAGTGGATGCTCTGTTTGCCAACTGTAGGTCAGACTATAGACTACAGAATAACAACTGTTGGCACCTGCCAAACCCCGTTACTTGTACCACCCCCCCCCCCTCTCCCCTCCCCCCGCAATCCGCCCCCTTTCATCCTCAATGTTCAACTTGTCTATTTTTCTACACGCTTTGCATGCAAACGCAATTTGCATTTAAATTCAATACTAAATTCATATGCTGGCTGTTGTAATACACACCAGAGAACCGATTGAAGGGGTTACCTGTGGGGGAAAGGGGGGAAAGGGGGGGGGGTATTTTCGACTCCCCTGCCTTGAGGGGTTATCCCACCCCCTTTTCACCCATTGTTCAGCCATTTCACAAGTTTCGCACAATGGATTTCCGGCTGCGAACCGATGCAAAAGTCGGAGCATATATAATAGAATAGGATAAGGATACCCTGTTTGTTTGTGGCTCCGTGTGTTCCTATAAATTGCTACACAAAGCATCCACGTTCATGTTTCATTCATGTACGTGAAATTGATTTGAAACTTTTTCGCCGTGCGTTGCCAGCGAAGCGAACAAGCAAGTTTTCCACGGAGGGAATCTCCGGAAAATCCCACGTCCCGCGCAGTTAGTCTCCTCGTTTGTCGTCCAAAAGGACCTCCAAACTTTGTTTGACCAGCGGGAAAGTTAATTGAAATAATCGCGGGGAGTTTGCTACTTTGGCAGTGATTGGCTTAGTTTTTCGGTCGACATTTGTTTTATTGTGATGTTTGTTTCGCGAAGATTAGATACACGGAGGAAAACATTTTTAATTACATATATTTTATGAAATTTTTTAAAAATGTAAACAAAACTAATTAGTGTTAGTTATTATTAATTATTGTATAATCTGTATTGTTTATTTTATTTTTCATCTATTATTGAATAAAGCACATTGCGGTATAAATAGCAAAACTTTAAAGCCTGATAATTAGCTTATGAATTAACAAATAAAAACAAAAGGAAATCTTGTAAATTAACTGTTTCATTAAAATCAATCCCTTTTTATTTTTCAACATACATACATACAAAAAAAATGATAATTGACCTGATTAAATAAAATAAATATTTTTCAATAACAATTTGGCATCGAATAATTGCTAGGATTAATACGAAAATTATTGGCCAACACATAAATAAATACAAACATAAATTTAAAATAACGTAGTCGGCAGTAAATTCATGTAAGCATCTTAAAAAAAACCTTGTTTAATGGGTGTGCAACCCCCGCTGATAAAGCATAAAAGGATAAAGGACTGTTGGCAACAAATTGCCTGCCACCGGCGAGCTGCATGCCACCAGTTTGTAACGAACTGGAGTCAAAGGGTGTAAATCTCATCAAAGGCCGTAGAATATCAACCTTTCAGCTTCCGCAGCTCCTCGCAACTTGCAACGCGATGGTGGAACATCCAGAACATCCTTCTCGCCGGGGAAACTGCACTGCGGATGTAGTAATCCTTCGGCGAGCTTCCAAGGGTTCTTTCGAGGAGGCGAGTTCATCGGCGACAGGAAGTCGACAGCCATTTTGTTATCCTTGGGAAAAGCTGAATTCTAAGCGCCGCGCTGCTGCCAAGTTAAGGAATTTATGCTAATGATTTGCACCGCTGGAAGCGCTCAACGGCGATGAAATCGTGATAAAAATATTTGCCCCGTCGTCACGCGAATCACGTGGCGCGGCAAAGGAATATTTTCAACTGATTTATGCCGCGAGTCCACACAAAATTTATTTTGCCAAAGTAAATTAAAATGACAAACATGTTTTAGAGAGAGACGTTATGATTTTAAGTTTAAAACATTAGTTTATCAATTTTAAATACATTTTTATTAAAGACAGCAATGAAATAGTTATTCAATGTTTACTAAAATAATTTTCTTAAATTATAATTTCTAATATTTAGTGTTTAATAATGTTTTTAATTATTTGATAATAAATTGAAAACATTTTAATTAATCTTAGATGCATATTGGTTCTATGGTTTGTTTATTTTAGAAAATAGTAAATGCGTTTTTTTTTTTTTTTATGAAAACATTTTTTAATGGCTTTACCATATCTTTTGCACTATAAATCCTTTACATTAACGAACCCATCTATCAATTTATTGATTTTCCAACAGAAGTTAGCAAAGCAGAGCCATTAAATTATCTATTAAATTTATGTCGACGGGGAGGTAAACATTTTTTAGCTCAGGCAGTAAAAGGATTTAGCCACCATTCCCGTCGACCCTCGTTCAAAATAGTAAACACTTACGCTTGTTTATTCTCCGAATTTCCAATCTCGGTGCCTCGAAAGTCGATGGCATTTGAGACGCTATCTGCTGGCTTTTCAATGGGATCCACTAATGCCAAGTTAACTAACTAACTGAATCGCTCTCTCTTTGGCCACCGAGTTCAGTGTGCAGTTTGCTTGGTCTTTGCTCAAATGTTTGGGTGTCCCGAAATCCGCTTTGTGCCGCCAAGTCCTGGCCAAGTCCTTTGCGGAGTCCTGGTCTTCCCTTCTCCCTGCCCCCCACATCATTAACAACGTCAACATTTGACTTTGTTGACTGCCTGCCTGTTGGCCTGCTGTGTTGGCCAAAAACGGTCGGTCGGTCGGTCGACGCACGGAAAAAACATTAAACCAATTTTCAGTGCCTATAACGTGGCAGTGGTCGTGGCAACAGGAGGCTAAAAAGGGGCTAGGACCTTACACCAAACCCCCTCCCCCTTCTCCCCACTCACACACACATTTGTCTCTGTCTGCGGCAGCTGCCGGGCTTATCCCCTCCCCCTCTCCCCCCCCTCGGAAAACCCAGCGCCAATATTAGAAAAGCCACACGTACACACATATCCGCATGCGGGAACAACATTTAATGGCACGTCCGCAGTCTGGGCTTCCTAATACATCGGCCAACATTGGGCAACATCGCTCCACACCACAACACACCGTCCGACTGGCTGGCTCACAATAACAACCGGCTAACAACACTTAAAATGTGTGTAAAATGCGAGACCACCAGCCAAAAAGCAAAAACCAACAGCTTCATCGACAAACAATGGGTCAATGATATGGCAAGCGGCAAGTGGCAAGTGGCAAGTGGAAAGTGGCAAGTGGGAGGTGCTTTTTCCACACCCCAAAAAAAAGCCAAGGCCATCAAAGGAACCCAACAAATTTTTATGTGTTAGTTTTTTCATTAATTTTCGCTCTTTGCCTTTTGAACGATCGAGGGAAATGCGTTTGCCACTGCCAGAAACTATAAAATTTGTTCGCCATCAAGGAATGAAATTTTGATTCGGCCATATTGAACGTTTTTACTACTCCATGGGCTTCCGTGTAAAATTAAAAGTGCTTAAGATGTTTGCCAGATTTTACTACTTTGCAGACTTTAGTGTGAAATTTAAATTGCTTAGGTTTTTGTGAACAGAGTTTAGAGACTTTATAATCAATAAAGGTTTTGCCATATAACGCCTAAATAAATTAAATAAATTTATTAAATAAACTGAAATTGTTTTTGATTGCACTACAAATCTTTACATTTTGGCTTTCTATTTATCCTAAGGTCTCAATGTGAATGTCAATATATACCTTGGTAAATATAAGTTTTAATAGTCGGTTCCTTATAAACACTTAAGTTAATTAAGTTCAATAGGAGACACATTTCAAAATGAAACAATTAAGTGATGTTTATAAAATCACTTAAATCCATTGGAGAAATCAATTTACTCAAACGATTTGAAATTTCAATTGAATTTGAAATTAATCACAATGAGAAACTTTATTAGCCAAAGGCGGAACATGTTTGTGTCTAGAGCCGGTTTCTGTTCTAGGGTCAAAGTTCAGATCAGCTTATTAGAGCAGCCTGCTGGCAGAATGGACTGCTCCCTTTCGGTTCTCGGTTTACCCAGTAGCAGCTCATTTTCTGTCGAAATCTGGGCTGTTCAGTTGCTACCTTTGTGCCTGCAAGGTATTCCGTGTTCAAAATGAAACTCGACCACAAGCACACGTACTTCAATGGACATCTGAGGGCGGTTTGCATGCTGGCCCTGCTGGAATTGCCAGCAATACAATCCAAACTCAATCCCCCAACCGAATCCATGCCGTAACCATTCCCAAGCCAAATCAAACCCAAACCGAGCCAACCCCTTCGGAACCCCAATCAATTGAGACCCATTGAAATCTGCGTTTGCCTGAACGCATGATTAGATGCAGTTGCCCACCCAGCGAAGCATCCGACAAACCGACCTCATAATCGGAGCCTCGGGGGTGTTGGACCACCTGGAAATGCTATTAATCAATTCTGGGCACTCGTTTCGTTCCATTCCAAACCGATCTGCAACGGGGAATCGCAGTAACGCCGCCGGATGCCAAGGCGATTATTGCCGGGCCCTCGGATTTGTACGTCAAAGTGGGCAGCAGCGTGACACTCACGTGCCTCGTGAAGCAGCCAACGTCGACGGCCCAGGACATCGGGCCCATCTACTGGTACCGCGGCCCCTACATTCTCACCCCCTTCGTGGCCCATCCCAATGACGCAGCCATCGATTTGCAGCGCATCTCCATGGAGTCCACGCTCGCCGAGAAGCTCCAGAGCAGGTGAGCAATGAGCAATCCATTGGGGGCAAACAAGGCGTTGAGTGCCTTCATTGGGAAACTAGTCCACATGGCACACTAAAAAAAGATGGAGAGTTTCAGAGCAGTAAAATATGAATGAAATAAAAGAAGAGATGCTCTTTTTTTTAAGCCAAACTAGTTTCTTAAATATATTTGTTGATTCAACGTTCGTAAATCAAATGTCTTGCTAGTCTTGCCTTTAAGAATGACATCAAAAAAATATATAAAAAAAAATTATTTATAATTAAAGGTCTCCTTGATTCTCATTTTTTTTTGTTATTTGCCAGTAAAAAGAAATAAATTACTTAACTAAAATTATTGAAGATTGGAGATGAAGGATTCATTAATACAAAATATTCAATACCTTTGCGATACAAATAATATTTTTTTAACTAGTCGGACACTCAGTATTCGTGTTTATATCAACTTCTGAGATAAATAATAGTTTTTTTTTTGTTAAATTCTTACGGCATTTAATTTTTTGAATCAACCATTAACAAGAAATAAATTTTTTCAAGATCTTAAATTTTAAAAAATATAAAACACATGCCTGAGACTTAACAATTTGTTGGTTCTTCCCTTCAACATAATTTAATAGAAACTTGCTGCTTAAAAGTCGATTTCTGAACGAAAATCTAGTTCTTAAATTATTGGCTAATTAGCTAAGGAAAAAGAGACTTAAGGTGACCTTTAATTTTTCTATGGTCTGGGAAAACGAGTCCCACTTCATAAGGGATCAAACGAAGAGTCGGGGGAAAACTTTCGAGTGTTGGAATTTTCCCGCAGCAACGCAGATGGAATGCCAGGGCAGATTTAACGTGCCATCAGGTGCGAGTTTTTCCAGTTGCTTGCCGGCTGGTATGTTGAGCTTTGATCGATGAAGTTGATTTAATCGAAGAGGAAGGAGGGAGAAAGGGGGTGGGGAAAGGGGGGAGGGGATGACAACAAAGTTGACGCAATTAAGCTTCAAGCTGGCCTTAAGCTCCTCTGCGCTTTGGTTTCCATGTTTTCCAGATTACGCATTGCGAATGCCCAGCTGCTGGATACGGGCAACTATACGTGCATGCCGACCACAGCGGAAGCGGCCAGCGTGGTGGTCAACGTCATCAATGGTAAGACTCAACCACCATTGTATCTCCCGTGGATCATATAGCCCTACTTTCCGATTTTATCCCCATTCAGACGAGAGTCCTGCGGCGATGCAGAAAAGCGCAAGTGACAGGAGTCGCTGCCATCGACGACTGGTGCTCCTTTTGGCCTTGGTCGCCAGCTCGGTGGTGCGGTGGCTCATCGGTGGTGGCTGCCACCTGGAGAGAAGCAGCAACAGCTGCCACATTTCCTGCTCGAATTTAAGCACTCTGCATATCAATTACTGCAACCTGCACGCAAAAATCACCAGCAACTCGAAGCCGCATCGGAATTTAGCCGAATCATGATAATTAAGTAGTGGCCACTTTTAAGCATCTTGTATATAAACTGAATTCATAGTTAAGCATAATTAATTGTGTAAATCCGGAAAGTGGAGAATGGAAGATGGGAAAACCGTTGTACTGTAAAATCGACCGAATAAATAGTTTATCTCCATGCTTCACCCCTTTTGTTACGAATTGTTTGTAAAACATTTCAGCTCCCCGCTTTTATGCAGAATTCAAGTGGTTTCCCATCTGGCATACAGTATACAGTAAACTATAAACTACATTTAATGCTAATTTTTATGCCTAGCGTAAAAATTTATGTAACAATAAAATTAAAAGATGGTGCCCGAGTAATTATCAAGTGTAACATTGAACATTAAACAAATTTACGCCCGATAATAACATACATTAGCGATAACAGAGGGAAAACAGCATTGCATTTTTAATTTCAGAATGCAAATATTATTATTATTCGGGAATTTTCTGTTATTGCAATTAGCTAATTATATTTGTCACTGCGAAAACACTCGAAAACTAATTGAAATCAGTTCTCATTAAAGCGACAAGTGTTAAAGAAATTACTGTATTAAATTACGTTATCAGCAGAAAAACATGAAAAGCCCACAATTAATTTCACCTCAATTTAGTTATAGATAATCAGTCTGCAAAAGAGAACGATTTGTAACCATATATATCGAATTTCTCAATGAGAAACAATAAAATGTATTTTGTTGAAATAAAAAACCTGATTTTAACCACATTTACTGAACAAACACACTGGCATTTTGTAACGTTTATTGATTTTCCAGAACATTAATTAAGTTTGTCTGCCAGCGCAGAAGTGTGTAATTATGCGAGTTAAGGTTACTGGGAAATGCCCTTTGTTAAATCATTACATCGTTAAAGTCCCGATAATGCGAACAGGCCTAATTTAATTTCGATTAATTTGTGCCGCGACATGAAAACCCGGAATGTCTAATCAACAGAGAGAGCCACGTTGAACTCATTTGGAATTAAGCGGATCTCGATAAGCCATCGCCACGCGTCATCAGTTCGCAGACGCATTTTCAGGCACACCGCGGCGTATACTTAATTCCGAACTTTGACCTCACCTGCGCCACTTGACTGGCATTTGGGGGAGGGTAAATAGAGGGGTGTAAAAAAGGCTGGGCCACGGGTCACGTTGGTCAACGACAATACATCGAGGGGTTCTAATTTCCCTGCCACACGGGGCGTATGCGCGATTATCTGATGGCACAACATGTCTGCATGTTAGGGTGCGTGTGTGATTGTGTGAGTATGTTTGCGTGTGTGGCTCCGCATAATTACGCGTAGTTGAGTCGCTTAAATGAAATCATAAATTATCCGCACACGCTCGCCGGCCTTTCACTTAATTGTGTGCAAATATTTTCCAGACGAACGCAATTCGCACTGATTGATACATGTTTCAGCTGCTGACTTTGCTGTTAATTTGAAAATGGTTTAGAATCCACTGACAAGCGATGCACTTAATGTAATTACCTGCGATTTAAATGAATGGCTACCGTGCGGAAATAATGCGAATGCGAATGCGAATACAAACTGCATAAAGGTAAGCCCTGATTGTAGTTCTAAAATTTATTTACCGTCTAATTTCGTCGCTTCATGATTGCCATCCAAGCCATTTAGCCCAAAAGCAAGATAGAAATTTAAAACGAAAAGCGAAACAAAGTTTGCAGCTAATTTTGGGATGGCACTCCCGTGAGCGGCTGCAATTAAAATCAGAAAATAGTTTCATGGCTACTTAAATTCGTTGTTGTCATATTTTGCAAACTGTCGAGGTAACTCGGGTAAATAAATTGAACCATTAGCACGGAAAGTCGAAAAGTTCACCCATCGTCCAGTTGATGTTGCTTGTTTTTTTTGGTTTTGTTTTTTTTTTTTCCCGCTGCCATTGTTGTTTACTTGCGGAGAAATAACCGCAGGCCCGCAATAAACGAGACAGAAGCGAGGAAAATAACCACAAACCAAACCATAAAAAAAAAAAAAAGGAGTCCAACTCGTCACCTGTCTGCCCGTTGGGCTTGGCTCCTTGCCCTCTGATCCCTTTGGTCCTGGGTCCTGGGTCCTTGTTCCTTGTTCCCTGTTCCTGGCTGTCTCGTCCTGTTCTGTCATCAAAGGCAAACATTTATGCAATTCGTAACGTCAGCAGTGATGGAAGGGAAAACCAGGCGAAAACCAGGAGTCGTTTTTGTGCGGGCGCTGCTCAACTGCTCAACTTTAATTGTATTCGAGGCTTCATGCGAAACTAAATTTTCATATTGTAATTTCGGCAGACAAAAGTCAAACGGGCCAAAACGGCAGCTTGTAAAAAGTTTTATCGTTTTAAAGTTCTCGGAGCAATTACACTGCGAAAGTTAATTAAGCACCGCAAGCAAATAGCACGAAGGAAGGGAGTTGTAAGTCACTTTTAGCATTATTTTATTTTTTTTTGGGGGCAGAGAGTGCCTGGGGGGGAAATATTCCTTTTTGCAATTTTAACCTGCTGCATGCGTGCAAATGGCTCTGAGATACAAATCATTACGTTGTGCGAGTTCCATTTAAGTTGGAAGCGAAAGGTACTGTGGAACAGGGACAACCTTTTAGGGGAAATCCTTTTAAGAAACCTGAGGAAAGTGTAAATCAAAGGAACACAAACACTTAAAAAATATTTATTACAAAATCATTTATAGTATTTAAATGAAATGATAAAATTATTTTCGTATTTTATTTTTATCTTTTCTTGTTTTTCAAATAATTAATCCCAGATTAAAACTTTAGAAAAAGTGGCAAAAATAATATCTAATAGCTATTATTATTTGATTTTCCTAGCAATAGTAACACTTTATGGATAAAGATCATCATTAAGGTAAAATCCATTAAACAATTAATACATATTTTTCATATAATTCAATGCATTTAAAAGTCTTTGTTTTGTACCATTATTTATTTTTAAAAAATTCATAAGGAATCTATAAATAATAACTATTAAAACCAAAGATAAATCATTTATTAATCTTTAATTTAAATTCAATTAAATTCCTCTTTATATTTTCTTTATAGTTCTCCATGTAGATTCCCTAATTCACCCACAGTTGGCCATCTCTAGTCATGCATCTCGGCCATAAAACTGCTCCAAAGTTTATAACGGGAAATTTTGCATAACAAGGCACTTATTAAAAAGCATTATTAGCCAGATAAAAATAAATTACATGCCAAAAAACTGCCATCTATTAACAATAATGTTTGCTGACCCCGTGGAGCGGTGTCTTCCCAACCGGCGACCAAAACACTATCGCATAAATAAACGGGAAAACCACTGACGTTGGCACTTGCCCGGAAAAACCACAGATGTGTGGGGCCTTTTGGGTGGTGGAAAATCGCCAGTTACATGAAAGTGTGTTCCCCACCTTCGACGGGCCGAAATGCAAAAGCCTGTACGATTTAATCTAATCTGCGTCCAATGAAATAAATTCATCCCATTTGCGGGATGGGACTAAAAACCGAGTTGATGTTATTGTTCTCGTTTCTTCTGTGCGGCGTGTTTGCGCCGGTTTCTGTTTAACTTTTACCACTAATTAAGTGCTTACACGAAAGATTTCAAAGCAAAAAGGGACACAATGCCGCAATGGCCAGAGCACACACAGTGTAAACGCAAAATTGAAAACGAAGGCGGAAACAGCCGGCATCGGCTGGAGTTTTCCCTTTTCTCCGTTTTCCGTTCTCTGTTCTCCGTTCTCAGTTGCCAGTTTTCCGGCCCAAAGTCCAAGTTTTGGGCCAGGGACTGGGAAAAAAATGTTGGCGTTTAATTATAAATTTACACGTTCAGCCACTGAAAAAGAGCAACTCATGCTAAAAAGGGTAAACACATCAGCAGCAAGGCCGACAACACTAACTCACATTCTGTATTTTACAGATCTGCCCGTGAGCTAAAGAACAAATTGCGGGTTTGAAAATAAAACTAAGGGGTACAGATGGGTAGTATCTAGTACCTTAAAATATTTGAAATATAAAATTCGATGATTTATTGGTTTCTTGTAGTAAGAAATTATGTTAATCTTGTTTTAATAAATTGGATAAACTTAGTAGTTGATTATTATGAATGCAATACAGTGTGCAGTGATATTTATTTATATTAAATAAATTTTTAATTTTTCTTTTGCTGAACTTATAAATATACAGAGAATTAAGTTTATGTTTTATTAATCTATCTAATTTTTATTTAAAGCTAATGAATTTAGAAGTATCTTCAGATTATCCTGGGATTTTAAATATTTGCTTTTAAGCTTTAAAGTAAAAGACAATGTTAAAAATGTTATTTTAAAAGTATGAAAATATTAAGACAAATCAAAAATTTTATTAAATAGATATACAAATAATTAGCTTTTCTAATCGTGATTTTGTAAATAAATTCGTATTGAAGAAAGTGTACTTTAATGGGTATACGAAAGGGCTAAGCTTCTTCTAGCTGTTTTTTACTTCTGTTTGCCTATTTGGTGCGGCTGGATCAGTCAGCATTCATGTATGGGCAAATACATAAATACACCTATTTACGTACTTATATTGCCACTTGTTTGCGCTTCGGCCGGTCTATATTTACCAGCTTGTGGGCGTTTAGGCCACGCACCTTGGTAAATAAGTTTGTTAAAGCAAAAGGACCAGCAGAGAAAATTAAATACGAGTATGTTTCGGCAAACAGAGCAAAAGGGTGCTGAGCCCTTAAGTGGCCTGGTCAATTTCATGGCATTTAATATTCACTTAAATAAAACATTCTGTACACAATATTCATTTACTATAAGTAGGGTATACGGCTTCGTGTGCGGGAATGTGTAAAAATAGCATGTGTGTGTTTTAAATTACTCGTTTGCCAATTTAATATGAAGTATGGTAATGTTGTGGATGCCGAAAATATGCTTCCATCATCATTTGGCTAAAGAGCCTTTATTATTTAAGAGACTAGAGGAAAATTCCATCCGCACCACAATATGGTATCGAATTCGCACAAAGAAGCCGGAACGGGAGGTCAAACTAATTATTGTTTTAAACGAATTGCGCTGTTTAAGGCTTAAATTGCATTATGAGATTCCGGGTGGTGTTGACATTTTCGCCATTAACAATGGCTATCATTACGAGGATGTTGTTTTCGAGCTCATTTCCTTTTTATTATCATTGTTATGACGCACGGAGCTTGGGGGGCTTGAAAAGTGCACTTTTTAAATGATATTATTTCCGGCGGAAATTAAGACTCCGCACATTGTGTGGGTGTCATAATGCCACCATGAATATTCTGCTGCATGACTTTAATGTCCGATGGCAATCTGACCACAATGCCCCCCACTCATTTTGAGGCGATTGACTGCCAGGCGAACTTTTGTCGATGCGCTGTGTGAAAAATCATCGCCTCACACCAAAAGTGCAGCCGGCAACTGGAAACCGGCAGCTGCAGTGGCAATATGACAGCCGGGGGACCCCTAAATGATAAATGACGCCTCCTCAGGGTGCACAATGGGCAAAATGGCCAAAAGAGAAACAAATGTGCGGCAAGATGCGGATAAGTCGACATCGACGATGATGTTCGCAGTGCTGATGATGTTGATGTTGATGATGCGCACATTGTCGCCCCGTGGCTTCTGCATGATGAAGCGAATGAATGAAGATTTATGGGGCATTAGACATATGTGTGTATGTGTGTGCTTGCCAGCGGATAGTTTATGCCACTACTTCTTACCACTGCGATTACTACTGCATTCCAAAAACAACTGCAGATCCGTAGGAATAATTGCAGTAATTTCCAGGGAGTAATTACTGCGCGTCATTAGCTTTCGCTCCATTTTTACTCCGCTGAGTTGCTCAGAAATATTATATCAAATTCAAATGGATCCTGCGATTCAAAGGAGTCAATCAGGGATTTGTTTAAAATGTTCACTGGGAAAGTTTGAAATAAATTCAGGCAAACTAACAATTACAGCTGAAAATGAATTGATTGAAAATGGGTTTTATAATAAATTTGTAATTTTGTTTTTATTACTTTGATTTCATTTCAGTATGTTTAATGTTTTTGTGGGCTTGTAAACAATTTGTTTATTATAAGGAACATTTTTTATACAACAACAAGTAAGAACATGTGAATTATGTAAGTTAGTAAATTCAAATATTTGAACTCCAATTAATATTAATTAAGTAATAACATATGAAGTATGTAAATCAGCAAATACAAATATTTGAACTCCATAACTATTTATATTTAATTGTACGAGAAAATTCTTATTGTTCTGGAAACCAGTAATTTTTTTTTATAAACATTTATCTGTTGCCATGACGGTAATTATTTTATTTTTTGTTTCGAAGTTATTGAAATGTGATATAGAAACGCATTCTTAATGGCTGAACAACTAATTTATACTCATTATTTTAGATCCGCAAGCGTTATCGTTTGAGTTTTTTCAGACTATAATTATAAATTAATTAAATCCATTGAATTTGTTTTAAATCAAAACCAAGTTACAGAGGACAAACTTGCCTTTTGACATTTATACATCAATTTAAACATGGCTTTCATTTAAATGAAGCGAACAAAGGCTGAGAACCACCTCAGTGGCAGAAATGAAAGGCATAATTGAATTTTTCTGTTGAGGATTTTTAATTTCAGCATTTACCCACATCAACAATAAAGCGAGCCAGCAGGTGGGCTTCATTTTTGGCTTTCACAGCCCTTTGTGTCTGTTTTGGCCCTAATGGAGTTGTTTTTGGGCTAGGATCGATGTTTGGCACATGGTTGGTTGGTTGGTTGGCTGGTTGGGCCATTACCATTTGAGTTTCAACCGTGTTGAACAAACATCATTAGCCGTTTGCGAGGACCTCCTAAAGGTTAAGCTCGTTGGCCTGCCATCTGATTTAATAGTACGACTAATTAATAAAAGTTGCGAAAATCGCTGTTAGAAAGGCTAGAAAGGATAGATAGCAAGTACCCAACGAAATTGGATTCCTTCGCGGCCCTTCCACCACGAACTCTGCTGGAAATCGCTTCATTATGGGGCTTAACAAGTTTTTAAATTTACTTAAACGCTTAAGTACGCTTCTGGGCCTCCAACTGCACTTATTTTCAATGGCTGCCAGACTCTCTACTTAAGCTACAAACGGTGTGTAAAAAGGACCTGTGAACACTGGCCTTTTCAGAAAGTTCCCCTAATCCTTTGCTTAATTCCAAGTGAATTTCATGCTGAGATTTTTCCACCAAGCGGCGTAGATTTCAGCAGGAGGTAATACTTAAGCTTTTTTACTTAACGCTTATAAAAATCAAAAATAAATTACCAATTCCTCAAGTCACAAACTATGTTGCATAGTAGTTTTTTATTTTACTGCAAATTCCCTTCGCTTATTGCCTTTTCATGGGTAAGACACCAATTTGCACTTGCATTTAACACGGACAATTTGTTTATATCGCCTGACAAGTGTGGAAAAAATGCGGGAAATGGGCGCGTAAATATGACAGCCTCGAACCAGCAGTAACCATCATATAGATAGCGTAAAAGTTACTTCCCCAGTCACGTTATTAAATAATAAAACGGAGAAATTTACACTCGATTGCATGCATCATTCGAGGTCGATGTTGCAACGGGAAGTGGCAAAAGTTACGCGGAACGGGCATTCATTTCACCGAATGCAATTTCAACCAGAAGAATGACGGCGTCCGACAAAAAAATAGAGGTGGCGATAATGAAAGGGTCGAACAAAGAAAAAATGGCTAACAAGCAATTGAAAGGGGCCAAAAACAAACGAAAACTTTGTGCAAATTAAAGCGTGGGAAGGGGAAACGGTGAGTGGTAATATTAAAGGCCATTTTCCTTTGGGGTGATGAAAAAATATTGATTAAAATTCGGTTTCCCAAAAACGAATAATGAAAGAAATAATTTGTTGAGAGCACAGGGTGGCAAATTTAATGAAATTACAAAAATTTTTTCAAAACCAACATTGTAATGATTCACTTTTTTACAACATTTAAGAGGCTAAGGTAAAATCAAAAAAATATTTCGACATCTGTCTGCGAATAGCAAATAAATTACATATTCAAAAATAATTAAACTATGTTAAAAATGTGTCAAGAACTAAGGAATTTTGCAGTGAAAATGTTTTTATTAAAAGTATTTCGCTCAATCAAATCGAATTTATTATTTCCATAGCAATTTTTGTTAGCATTTTAGGTAGAAAAAATGCCTTTGGACAAACAAATTACAGATAGCTAGTAAAAATAGTAACAGAAGACAATTGATTAAATTAAACCTGAAACCGAAAAGCAAACTTGCAACGATTGTATTTTTTTCTTTAGAATTTTTTCCAGTTGCAATCGAAGTTAAATAGCAAAACAGCTGTTTAAGAGCCAGAGTGGCAAGTCAACCTGTAATTAGCTCAGTTTCCTGATAGCTGTCGCCATGAAAACGTCGCCGACAACCGCACTTGGCCTGGTTATATTCCTGCCACTGGCGTTGATGCAACAGGACACTCGAACGGCCAACTGGGCGGCTCAAATCGATCTGGAGCTGCAGGAGCAGCCGGACAAGTTGGCCTTCTGCAGGATACTCCAGCAGAACCAGAACCTGCGGACTTCACTCCGAAACAGCGAGTGCGCCTCCGTTCTGAACAACCAACTCGGCATGACAGGTGAATTGCTACTCGAGACTCTGCCGCGTTGCTGGTCCGGATGGGAACTCTTTGGCAGGAGATGCCGCAAGTTGGCCTGAATCCGGAGTCCTTAAGTCTCACCTTCACTCTAATCATAAGCAAATTCACAACACTTTAAGCAAACGAAAATAAAGAAACACAATGGCGAATGGCAAAGGGGTTGCAGATTTTTGAGTTGATTTCAGGCTACGTCTGCCATAAAACTCAAGCATCCATCATATAGTCGTGCTAACCCTAATCAAGAAATGGTTCGTTGTGTGTATATACGTCATGTTGGCTTGTCAGCTCGCCTCGGGCAAATAACAACAATGGCCAACGGATGAGGCTGAAAGAGCCTTCTCGGCCATTTTTGTTTATCAACCTTCCGTATGGAAAAAGTTTCCAAAGGAGTCAATCAACTTCCGTTTTTGCTGTTGCCATTTTCTCTTTTTTTTTTTTGGCTGTTTGGCCAGTTAGTCTATGGATTCTTTCTTTAGTGTTTCGCTTGGTTGCCATCGCCACTAAAACGCTAAAATACCGAGTGTCAGTCCGAGAACCAAAAACGGAGTGTTGACGCCCGTGTTGTAGGTGGTTTCGTTAACCGACAGCGAAAATATCTGCTTTTAATAGTATGTCGAAAATGGAATAACTCGTGGAAGAAAAAATAATTTTTATTATTATGCAAAAAATTACTTTCAGAAACAAATTACAGTTAGAGGTCAAAAAATAAAAAATTTACTATTGGTGCAGTTGGTTAGTGAATTAAAATAAAAGCCTTTAGAGGTATGCCACTTCAAAAATGGAATAAAATTAAAAAGTTTATGCCCTCGGAATTAGAAATAGAAACAGAATTTTTAGGAAATATGAAAAGGGATTATTTCATAAAACTGGAAGAAAATCGGCCAATAAATAAAAATTTTACCAATGATGCAGTTTGTTATAGAATTAAAGTACAACTTTAAGAGGTATGCCACTTAAAAATCTGTTTAAAATTATAAATTATATTATAGTAAATTCGGGTCAAATTTCAGCAAACCTATTCTATGGAAAAATGGAAAAAAAAAAAATAAACAAATTTCTAATGATGCAGTTTGTTAGAGAATTAAAATACAAATTGTTAAAGGTATGCCATTTCAAGATCTGATTACCGTATGGAAAGTTTGTACTTAAAGTTAGTGAATATTGGTAATTCAGCAAACCATTTTTTTTGGAAATTTCGAGTTGTATGATAAATATTTATAAAAATCGGCCAACAGATTTAAAATTAACTTTAAAAATACAGCTTTAAGTGCTTTTGCATTGACAGTACAAATTTGATTTTTCAATCTATGTACTTCCTGTGGTTTAAATTGCTTCAGCGGATAGTTTTTCTTTGCCTAATTAAAAAGAGCTCGTGAAACACTTGATTCAGCACTACCTGCAATGACAACTGGCCAACTTTAAGCAGCTTCCATTGCGAAATGACTGCGACTTGTGCTCAAACACTAACGAAGCGGAACGGCGAATAGTTACGCAAAATTGCCGACGACCGCGCGTTGTTACGCGCCACGTGGTGCCACAAAGTTGCCACTGCCACTGCCACCGCCATCGGAATGAGGAACAGGATCCGAGTCAGAATCAGAATCAGAATCAGAATCGACCCGAATTGCAATGCGTTGCGTTGCAGTGTCCTTTCCGCTTTCACCGCACTGCCGGCGAAAGTTTTTATTGGCCAAATTCCCTGCTGATGTTCGCGTTGCACTTTTCAACCGGTGCACAAATCTTGACCTACTACGTGAGTTAACTTGGCCATTAGGAAAAAAACTTTACCAATAAAAATTCCAACGATTTGCTAAATATTTCTAGGGAGAAAGAAGAAATACTCTTAAATTATTCCAAAGAAAAAACTAAGCCTGCATTAAAAGGAGTTTTACGTGTTTTTAGGCACAATCGAATGCAAGCCATAAATAACTCTTACTTCGGACTTTTTTACTTTAACTTTTTATATCCTGGCAGAGGATTTAATAAATTATTTAATCGCTTTAGTTTTGGTATTATAAAAGTGAAGTTCTAGTTTTGAAATGTATTCGCATAGCAACCTTTTCTACGTCAATAACATAAACAATTTGAAACAAAATTAGTTTTGATTTGGTATCGTAAAAGTAAAGTTGTGGTTTTAAGTTATAAGCACATAACAGCAACCTTTCTTACGTCAATGACACAAACAGTTTAAAACAAAAATTTTGTTTTTTGAGAAAATTAAAAATATTTGCGTTTAAAAATGGCAGCGTAAGTTTATTATTGGTTTCTCAAGAGGCTTAACTACACAGTTTATTTAATTGCCAGAGCTGAAGATTACAAACCGGGATCAGTTCCATTGGAAGAGCAGGATGATCGAAGATTGTTCTGTAAATTTCACTACAAAGGTGTTCTTCTTGTACTAATACCTATTTTACTTGGACCGATTTTGGCTGGACATCCAGTTTTGGTAAGAGTTTGGCTCACCTGATGAAAAATAAGTTACTATAATTAGCTCTTTTTTGAAGGCATGCCGCTTCATATATTTGACATTATGCTTGTACTTGATCTACATACTCAATTTGATGGCCAGAGGAGCTATAGCCTTTCTCTATGTCGTATTTATACCGATCGCTGGAATCGCATCTTCGGGAAAGGTCAGTACTTCCTATTACACTGACCTATTGTTTTTGGTGTTCGGTGCTATTTTCTTGGGCATTATGATGGACTCTTCGGGGCTGAGTGAACGACTGGCGGCTTGGGTCATCGCCATTGTGGGTAGCAGTCTGAAATTGTAGGTTACTAAACGGAGAAATTATACAGCTTAATATTTACATACCTTTTACAGTCTACAGATTTTTTTGACTCTCAACGTTTTGTGGCTTGCCTTTCTTGTAAATCCCACAGTTGCCGCTGCCTTTTGGATGAAGGTTTCTCAAGCGGTGATAACGGAATATAATAATGTAAGGAACTCATATTTAACCCTATTTTTTAATTAAATGTAGATTTTATAAAAAAAACTTCCTTCTTCTAATTTTCGGTAACTGAAAATATTTCAACCGAACATCTTTTATTTATATAATTTTTAATTTCAGTTAAAAAGTTGAAAAAGTGCTTTAAACCTCTGTGTACACTTTTCATTTATATATGTAATATTTAATCTCAGTATTAATTTACCTGAGCCAAATCAACTTACATTTCAGGCGGGCATTGTGAAAATGGACTCTGAAGAAAAGCCCTACGAACCGGGATCGTAAGTTTATACTTATTACTCTGGCTATATCTCTATATCTAAAGTAATTTACTAATTTTGTTTTCAGCAAACCATATCCCACACGTCCTGTCATAGGAATTTATCTAACCTGTTGCTATACTGCCAGTTTGGCTGCTAGTTTTTCACCCCTAATGAGTCCCAATGGCTGCATTGCCGATGCCCTTTCCAAGTAATTATGGATCCTGCAACTCCAAAAAGGATTGCTTTAACTTTTGAATCCTGTTCTTCTTCTCTTTTCAGATCGTTGTCGATTGGGACCTTGGCGTTGGCTATGATTGGACCGGGAATTTTGGGGATTGCAGTAATGGTTTTCTGGTTTCAATTCATCTTCCTTGGACTTCTGGGTGGCAAAGTGAAGCGCGACTTGGCCGAGCTGGAGGGCAACAAGGCGGGCTTCAAGCAGGCCATGAACAACAGAAAGGAGGCGATGGGGCCCTGGACAATCTACCCCATACTGGTCTTCATCCTGATCCTCATCACCTTCTTGCTGGTGGCCACTCGAAAGCCCTACATCGTTCCCGGTTGGGCCGACTTCAACATGAAAATCGAGTCCGGCTCTTCGGTTCCCACGATTGGAATGGCCATTCTGTTCTTCGCCATTCCGGCCAACTACTTCTTCTGCAGATACTATGTCTGCCGGAAGCCAACCAAGGAGGGCACAGCCAATTCCCTTCTGGGCTGGAAGGCGGTGAATGCAAATACTCCCTGGGCGGATATCTTCATGCTGGGCGCCGCCTTCAGCCTCGTCTTCTGTGCCCGGGAGAGCGGCTTCGTCAGCTTCGCGGGAGTGAACATCGAGGATCACGGCGACTCCATGGCCTTTCTGTACGGCACCTTTGCCGGGACCGTCATGGGGAACCTCGCCCCCTCCACAACCATTTGCAGGATAATACTTCCCAAACTAAACGCTGTAAGTAGTTTTCTTATTTTAATAATAAGATTAATAATAATATTAAACAAAATACCTTTTCGTTAAGCTGAATAATTGCTTTTTATATTTTAAGTAAATATATATTAGAGAAATTTAATGATGAAAAAACCATTTCATTATCAACCATTATCAAATTAGTTCTTTAAAGGCGGTAGTCATTGTTTAAAAAAAAAACTTGATAGAAATTTTATTTCTAAGTCAAAAAAAAAAAAAAATTATATACAATCTGATTTCATTTGAAACCAACAAGATCTTTATTAGCTTAGAGATGATCAAACTAAACCCAATTTATAAAAGATTTATAATGTATTTAAGAAATAGTATGCCACATTTAATGGCTGTTTAAAATTAGATTTTCTTGATTGAGTTACAAGTAATTTTAATTGAAATAACTTACACTTTAATGTATGTATGGCAAATAAAATTACAGGGAGACATTTTCCGACTGGCATTTTCCACCGCTTTGCACAATCAGTTCTTGCTGCCCGTCAGTACGCCATCGAACACCATTATCTCGGGATGGGGCAACATCAGACCCTTTCAATTCGTAAGTACTTGGTGTCTTATCAAATATATTAATACCTCACCCACTTTTTAGTTGATTGCTGGAAGCGTCATTTCCATAATCATGTTCTTTATGATTGGCGCATTCACCCTACTGCTGATCTTAAACTAAGATTAATCCGTTCCAGTTCGTATTAACCCACCAAATTTATCTTTCGATTTTAAGTGCGTTTATTAAAAATTACCTAGTGAGCTTTACTAATGGTCTTAAGCTAAGATTAATCCGTTCCAGTTCATATTAACCCACCAAATTTATCTTTCGATTTTAAGTGCGTTTATTAAAAATTACCTAGTGAGCTTTACTGAATTGAGAAACCAACTTGTTGACTTTTTGCATACACAATCTGGGCAACATTTGGACTGAAATTGCTCGGCAACATCTGTTTGAGAGGATATTCATCTCTAGAAAAGGTGGTATCAAATCCCAAAAAAGGAAGCTGCCACAGTTGACATTTCAAGGAATAAAAGTCAAAAGGATTGTACAACAAAAAAAAAAAACAAGCCACTGGAACCTTCCGACACAGGTGCATAAAGATTTCGAGTTTGAATTTCCCCTAAAATGTTAATAAAATAGCACAAAACAGTAGGTGACATAATAAATAATACAAATGTAAACTTTAACTTAGGTATTTATTTATTATTTTAAAATTTGTTTTTTTTTTTTACCTGTAAATATATCGCTCTGTTATTAAACTAAAACAAATTGAAGCCAATTTAATTGCCACATTAAAGAGCAGCAAATGCTTTGGGGCAAATTAGACAGTTTCGCATTTAGGGTAATCCCCTCCTGGTCATTCGCACCTAATTCACATTGCTCTAATCCAAACATTGCCCACACAAGTGTTGGCACTAAATTATTCATTTGTTAATTTGGCAGCGGACCCTGGCTCATGTATCTCGTCGGCAAACTCTTTCCGGCTGAATACTTTCTGCTCGGGCCATGGTCCTTTTACCATCCTGCTAAAATACATTTGCCGCCGGAGGTCCTGGCGTCACTAGCTTTGGGCCGCATTTATATTCCAACTATTTAATTATTAAATTCGTGGCATATAGTTCATGAATATTCATAACACTCACGACTATTCAAAATGGCTCATTTAATTGATTTGGCCAAGGGCAATGACCGCTACTTTTGCCACTGAAATTTTCGAAACTATTATTCAAATTGGAATACAAATAATAAAGGTGGAATTTGCCTAATAAAACACTTTTCCCTTTTTTTCTGTTATGCTTTTCAATTTGTTATAGAAATCCCCAAGGATTTCATTCTTCTTAGACTAATGCGGAATTTTCATCTTAAAGACGTTGGCAACCCAAAAGGGAATCGCACAAATTATGTATATATATTCAAATATCATGCACGCCTTAAGCTGATTTTCCACGTCGGCAAATACCAAGCTCACTGGAATTTCCTCATTCCCAAATCTAGGCTCATTATCCTTCTTGACTTCTGCACGGGATTCGCGAAAAAATTGGCAAAAAAAATTATTCCCTCTTAGAGGTTTATCACCAATGGAATTTTTTTGTATCGAAATAATTCTGGAGTACATGGATTTTTTTATTACAAATAAAATTGTCTCTATTATGGTTGTTCTTCTGATAATATGCCACTATTTTTTTGTTATTTTAAGATTAATTTTATCTGGTTAAGCCATTGGAAACAAATTCCTTTATTAAAGATATGTAGTTCATACATAAAAATGATTGCAATTTTTTCAGATTTGTGATTCTATAAAAAAATTCATGTTTAAAATGAAGATAATGCTGAATGTTTTAATTAAAATGCTTTCTGCGATTATTTTTCCAGCTGCGCTGTCAAGTGCAATCGCCTCTGTGACTGATTTTGATGTGCTGACAAAAAATCGAGGGAAACAAATGCCAAAAGGCGGGGAATATTTTACTATTGTCTTAAAACAAAAAGTCACAATGCAAATTGGGATACAAAACGGACAGGTTTGAATGGGGAAAAAAATATGAACGTCAGTTCAGAGCTCCTTGGAAACAAACATGGTGTCGGATTATTCACCTGCGGCGCCATTATTTCCATTCATTATAACTCTCCGAGTTTACTCTTTTTATATATGTATGTACATGTGCTCCGAAGTATAATAGATTTTCTTGCTGTTAGTTGGGGGTTCTTGGGTTTCATTGTTTGCTTTATGGACACAGCCCGAAGGTTTTAAGATAACTACCGAACAGGAAGCTAAGATCGGTCGTTGTCCTTTTGCACATGGAAAATTCAGTCTGGAAAAAATGAGAGAGGGATTTTAGGATTTCATTGCAGGTAAACTCACAAGTGTGCAGATTAAATTGGTAAATACAAACACAATTAATCCGATAAATAGTACTTTTCAAATGTAATAATACAGGATACCCCAAAGGCATTCTTAATTGTCCAAACCTTTTTTATACCCTTGCAGAGCAAAAGGGTATTATAATTTCAGTCAGAAGTTTGCAACGCAGTGAAGGAGACACCTCAGACCCGAGGAAGTATATATATTCTTGATCAGCATCACCATCTGAATCCAATTCCGTCTGTACGTCTGTCCGTCTGTCCGTCTGTCCGTCTGTCCGTCTGTCCTCCTGTCGGTTTCTATGTAAACTAGTCTCTCAGTTTTAAAGCTATCTGGCTGAAGCTTTCCCAAAAGTTGTCTAGTTGTTGCACGCAGTATATAGGTCGGAACGAGCCGGATCGGCCGACTATATCGGATAGCTCCCATACAAGGGAATGAAATTAAAAATTCTTACTCCGTTGTTTTTGATCAGATCGAATTGATTCCTTCCAGATGGCGTTTTCTAACCACTATTGAATTTCGGATTAAATTTTATCAAAATCGGATAACTCGATCATATAGCTGCCATAGGAGAGACCAGAAAATATATATATAAATAATGGAAAAAATTATAACGTCGTTGTTTTTAATCCCACGAGCATGATTTTTGGAACATCAAGTTTTTCAAATACTCTTAAATCGAGAAAAAAATTTCAGAAAAATCGGAGTAATTTATCATATAGCTGCCATAGGAAAGATCGAAAAATCTATATAGAAATAACGGAAACAAAATTATTACCTCGATGTTTTTCATCAGACAATCATGATTTTTGGAATATAGAGTTTTCTTATGAGTCTTGAGTTACAAATTAAATTTTATCAAAATCGGACGACTATATCATATAGCTGTCATATGAACAATATGGAAAATTAATAGAAAAATCGTCATAGATTTGATGCTGTTTAGCCGTTTTGTATTTTGTTAGACATATTGCAAGGGTATATAAGCTTCGGCTTGCCGAAGCTAGCTTCCTTTCTTGTTTATTTACATAATTAATTCGAGCTGGACAACAATTATAAATACCGTGTTTTACATGGGCAATCAGGAACTTATTTTTTAAAACCTGTTTTTTCACAAGCTTTAACTACAGTTCAACCATTCATAATGAACATTATTAATTGAATTCATAACAATATCCATAACAATTGAACGGTTGAGATAAAATCGGATGTCTGACATTTGTCACAGATAAAGAGGGCGAACAATACGACTCTTTTTCGAGTGCGAAACAAACAAATATATGCAAACAACTCGGTGAGGAATTCGGACAACAAAACACACAATAAAGAGGAAACTAATGAAATTAAAGCGATTTTATCGAAACAAATAAACAATGGCCATTGATGGCGTCGCGCATGTGCACACACCAATAAACATCATGGCAAATTGTATTAAATTTATGCTCGTCGCGATAAAGTCCTCATTTTCATTTTTGACCAGCCATAATAAGCGACCTATTGGTTTTATGTTGTTTTTAATTTAACCATCGAAATGATAGAGAGCCGTTAAATTAGCACACAAAACATCGACGACCAAGTCGAAAAGGGAAAATTCATTTTCTGCCGGAAATCGGGCAGCCATGACGCCATTTTTCAAAATGGTTCTTGCTGTCTATTTTTATTTGCCTTTCCGTTCGTTCGTCACTCGTTCTCTCTCCCTCTCTCTCTCCTTCTGTCTGTCTGGCGTCTGTCTATCGCCATCTCGCTCTGGTGATTAGCTGTCACGAAACTGCGGCGAAAGGCAAAAATGAATTATTATCGCGTCGCGTTCCAAATGTTGACATAGATTTAAATTATTTGTAACAAAATCAACGAACTGTGTCCACTCCGCTTCCTCCCTTCTCTCCACTGCCACGCCCCCTTTTTGCCCGGCTTATCCTTCAGTCCTCTCACGCCCCAAGGACTTGTTGGTGACTTGATTGCCCGGCAAAATGTCCCAGCGAATACCACATAATGAACCGCCTTATGCTCTTTCAATGAAAATATGAGAGGGTACTTAATAAAACAAAAACCAACCAAGTATAAAAAATGACTATGAACATAAAGTAGAAAGTTTTAAAGATATTTTATTTCGAAGTTTTTCCTTTTATTTAAAAACATTAATGTCTTATTAGGATACCTAAAATATTATTGGCTTGTATTATATTTCTTTAGTATGACTTATACATACATTTATGCTAATTTTCTTGTAAAATTAAATTTAATATTTACAAAGTAGTATATATTACATACTTTACCATTTCCATAGTAACCATCTAAATTTCCTGTATCATGTTTATTTATTTTCCTCACAAAATTCAGATGCCATTCGCTTGTTTAAAATGGCTTTAGAAAACGTTCATCACGTCTTTCCTCGCAACAAGAAGAAGCGAACTAATAGGCTCAATTAATAAACTTTCCCCAGGCAAGTCAACTTGTGATGGTTGCTTACCAAGTTTTTCCTCCAGCTCATTTATTTCGAAGGCTACTGGTAAGCATTCATTGCAAATCCGAGTCCATCCATACCAAGGCCACTGCTACTGCCATTTTTTTTCACTGCCATCTTAGTGGTAATGAGGGCTTCAGGATATAGTTTCACTTTGATCAAGTTGTCAGGATGGAAAAAATGAATATTGCTTGGTTAAAACTAAGGGTCATCATCTTGTTTACATATTGTGCTATTGTTGTTCTTTTTCTTAGACTTATTTGGCCATAAGAATTGTATACCAACTGGCCTTTGTTGGCGTATTAGATTTTCTTTTTTTCCATGCCATTGGGCTGTTCCTATTTTATTCCAAGGACCTTGGGTAGTTTCTGGTAAATACCTTTTTGCCATTTACAAGAAAGGGGATAAAGGAGCACTTAGATGTCAACAACAAGGATTGATTTTTTCATTTTCCGCTTTCACAGTATCTTTCCTTTTCTTCTCGCCCAACTGCTCATTACCTTGAAGCAGCTTCAATGTTTTCCACTTGTGGCATTAATTTCTGCTGTGTAAGCAGATAAATTGCAAAATGTCAAAAGTTGTTGACAGTCATTGGCATTAAAATGCTATCCAGTCACTTTGCCGGACCCTCAGTCTCTCCAAAAAGCAAGTCGAGGTGTTTATCGAGAAGCAAAAGTAAACTTGAACGCTTTATAAATTGTGGAGGTCGAAGCAGTCGGATTATGGTGCAGTAATAATTTCCTTAGCTGCTGCCAAATGAAAATGTTTCGAAAGGTGATTAGCTTCCTTGGCAACCAATAGGTTTATCAAGAGGCCCAGAAATTCGGAATTGTTAATATTTTATGTAAAGACATTCTGAAGTTCTTATGACACAACGAGATATGTAACTTTGTTATGCATTTATGAATGGTTATGAATGGTTATATTAAAATTAAGTATATTATTTCTGATTAAATTTGAATGTTTGGAAGTTAGATGCTTGCAAGTTAAGATATTTATTTTTAATTATCAAAACTAAATATTAGGTTTTTTTTTTTTTGGTGAACCCTAAACCTAGGAGAGAGATTTAATGACATTATTTAAGGTTCTTGTGCAACCAAATTGCGACCAACCGGAAACCAACAAAACGAGATCCCCAAATGCATTTTCCGGTTAAGACTCGGAATGAAGTTGCTATGGGGAGTACGTGTAGTAAGCCCAGAAATTAATCGGGCGTGTCAAGATGACCAACTGCCTGTTTGCCGACAATTAGCTAATGTGCCAGTTGAGGCCTGCCCAGGGCATCGGCAACAATTACAGACAATTAGGCCCGGCATTGATTTGCAGTCCGCGTCTTTTCTCTTGCCACATTATCAAGACTCCCTCCAGATCTGAGCCACAAACATTGTTCATAATACAATGCCCACGGGCTTTTTGGCGTTCACCGCTGATGAACTAATTAAAACGGGGCGGTTGGGCGGAGTTTGCAACTTCAATGCAAACTAACAAGTCATGTTATAAGGAATCTGCGGAGTTTTTAATTCGTTTAGATTAAACTTGCTTAAAACTATATTTTTTTAAGCAAAAAGGAAGTGAGGAGGCCATGTCTTTTGAAATATTCAACTGCAATACTTTCTTCTTGAAAACTTTATAACTTTTTGATAAAGTTAAGGTGGCTTCTGCCACATTGAAATGTAGTTTTCAAATGCGGTTCAGTGTAAAGCATTTTCTGTTCCTTTTGTAAGTTTTTAATCTAATATTTTAATATTCACTACTTAATTAAATGTTTTCTTAACTAAAATCCATTTAAGAGGCATTTTATCTTGAGTGTTTAAAATCTCTTCTTTTATTAAGTTTTTAATCTGATATTTTAATATTCACTACTTAATTAAATGTTTTCTTAACTATAATCCATTTATAAGGCTTATAATCTTGAGTGTTTAAAATCTCTTCTTTTTTTAATATTAACCATCGCCTTTTATTAAGTAGAATTTAAATTTTATACAGTAGATAGAAGAATTTATTGATAAATACACTTCAAAGTAAACAAAGTGTGCTGAGTATTTAAAGTATACATGTTTGTATATTACAAAGCGAAGTTTTTATTTCCGAATTGTGATCTCTAAGCGAACTAAAAATGATTTTAAAAACTATAAAAGGTGTTAAGCGAAGGATAAGGCCATTTGTTCTGAAGTTTATGCCTTACTTCGTAATGTCGTATTACTTCATGGAGGTCCTTTATGCAGCGGTGCATACTTCCCTTGTGGGAAGAGAAAGAGCAATTGTGATGGATGTCCACGATGCATTTGGATACATTTACACCTTCTTCGATATCCTGCTGACAATCGCGGCCATATTCATCAATCTCTGCACCAAAAAGGAGGCCAGTGGAGTGACCCTCTTGCTCATCGGAAGAGTCATCCATCGACTCTTCTTCTCCATTTGGACCATATTTTTCTACTTTCTGGTCAACGACAGCTTGGATGTGGGTTCCTTATTAATGTTGGTTGCTGCCAAAAGCAAATTGAGAGATCAAAAGGAGTGGCCGCAGATGGAAAAGTGGAAGTATCAACTGTTATTATTGGGAGGAAGACTTTGCTTGTCCAGCTTGTTTATTATGTGGATGGATGAGGAACTGGAGGTAAATATGGTTTCTTAACCTTCATACATTATAATAATTTTCTTATTTTTTCCCAGAGTTCTTTCACCATTGTATCATTTGTTCTGCTGTTTTTCATAAGCTTGGGCTTCCAATGCAAACTGTTTTCCTATCTGACCGTAATCGCCTTGCTGTATCACGATGTTTTCAGCAATCATTGGAGTATGTTGTTTGGCTGGAATGATACTCTCCTCTCGTTGCAGTACTTCTCCTTATTGTTTTGTAAAATCGGTGGATTCATGATGCTTTCCGAGCTCGGAGGAGGCAGATTTTCCTTGGACGGATTGAGGAACAGGAAGGCCGAGAAATGGGAGCAGAAAGGCGGTTACCGACTCGTCAAAAACCAACCACCTGCCTAAAAATCGTTATCCAGCGGATTGAGTTCTATCTTTACTTCTTCCTTACTTTCCACGCCCTTTAATGTTTGGGGGGATCTGCATAAACTTTAATGGGAAATTCTGGAGCTCCAGCTAATGTTTATTTTTATTTGTATCTCTATTTGTGCACCTGCCTCGCAGCAAAACAAAAAAAAAAAAAAATACGAAGTGGGCACTCCAAATGCTCTTTGATTCGCGCCTCAGCCGACGTAAATTATTAAAAAGTCTCGAGTTGCGTTTAAGCGGCTTTCCCCTTACCACTTTCCCCATACTTTTTTTTTTCTTCCTGCCAAGAGAAATTGGAACTAGTCTGGTGTGGGTAAAAAATTCTTAAATGCGATAAAGCCAGCAAAAACAAGGCGGAAGTTCTAACACCGAAGCGGAAATACACTCACCGAAAATAGGGGTTAACAGCCCGCTGAGCGGATTAAGTAAATGCCAAAGGACCTTTACGGCAGTTAAAAGCATTTCACTGCCATCAGCAAACGTCTTTACTTAATTATTGTGACTTTGGGCCAGAACACCAAGGGGGCAAAGAACCGAGAACGGGGAACCGGCTTAAAAAGCAACACTGCCGTTAATGAGTTTCTGGGCCAGGATCAAGGAGCAAGAGGAAGAGGAGGAGTATGGGAAGAAGAAGAAGAAAATGGTAAGATACCAAGCAGGCATGCATTTAACAACCGCAAAGGACGCAGTGACCTTCGCTCCCATCTGAAAATCCATTTGCATAAGCGGTTGGTCGGTTGCTCCGATGGGTGGATGGGTGGTTGGGGTGGTTGTTGGGGGTGGTGGTGCTCCCCAAAGTCGCGAATGCGAATGCCAACGACATGTGGGCGCAGAAAGTGCAGCTCTCGAGAATTGACCAGGCCAGAAAACTCAGCTGGAGAGAAGGGATCACGAATGCCCTCGCATTTTCCCCTTACTTTATTTTACTTACCCGCAATGCGTTTCTCTTAATTGGAAAGCAGTTGCGATTTCGCCGTTAAGATGCGAACGTTAAAAGTAATTGACAGTATGATAAACAAGTGAGCGGCCGAGTCCGAGGAAAGCGGATAATCTGCATCCGACAATAAAAGGGTGTAACGCCGTAATGTTTGGTTTGGTTAAAGGACACAGAAAGAGTAAGCCGACCGATTTGCAGTCGCATCGGAGTTATCGTTACGTTGAATCGCTTTTCCTCGCCGTTTCCTTTAAATGTCACTTGGTGGAAGTCAAAAGGATTAATCACTGGAAAAGTTCAACCTTTACTCAATTAGAGTAAAGAAATATAGTACGACAATTAAGAAATGTTTTTCCAATCAAAAGCAATGCATTACATTAGGTGAGCTATCAATTAATTTATCTTAAATATTAGTTAATTACTAAATAGTTAATCACTTTGTTATACATTCGCAAATTTAGAAATTTTATTATTAATAAATTTGAGTTAATTCTTAATTAACCTCTTTCTTATGCACTTAAAAATTTATACATTTTTTAACAAAAAATTTGAATCTTTTAAAAATGTAGAATTTATTATTTAATCCTCAAAGGCAATTTAAAATATTAATCAAAGTTGTTAACAAAATTAATCACATTTAATTTCCTTAATATCTACAGCAATTCCATTTCAACTCTTTTTCGATTTTATTTGTTACTTTTATTAAACTAAAACTCGTATTCAACTTTATGGTCGCATGTAAAACATATCTCTTTTAAAACACACCAAATCAAATCAAATAGAACTCTTGATGCCACATGCTAAATAAAACCAACATCAGAGAAGTATTTTAGAGTTGCATATCCAGTAACAAAGCTTTCCTTTGTAATGCTCTAAATTAAATGAAATGAAATAAAATTACGATGCTAAATGATAGCAACCCGAGTATAGTCTTTATAGTTACACATCAAATAATAAAGCGCTCGCCTCTAATTTTCTAAATGAAACAGGGGAGGTAACAATGGGATGCAAAAACGCAGCTTTCGCTGGCAATATTAATAAAATCGCAGTGGTTGCCGGGCAAAAAATAAGAGAGGTGAAGGACGGGATATGTGGGGATAAAAAAGGAATAACCACTCGCCATGCGAGAAATATGCAATAGCGAAATGGGTCGCATCACGGGGCATTACCATAGAATAACCGCAACAGCAACAAGGAATAGGAATTCTGAAGCTGAAGCTGAAGCTGAAACTAAAACTGAAGCTGGTTTAATTAAAACAGTGCAACAAAATGCTCGTGTGTGCAAAGTGAACACTGTCCTGTGAGGCGCACACCATTTGCATAAGTAAAGTACACACAAAAATCCACAATTGTATGCAATTGCAGTTGCAACTGCTACTGCATTCAACTTACCAGACATTTCTCCTCCCCGAAAAGCCGACTCTTTGGCCAAACAGCAGTCAAAGCATTTAAGTTTATTTACCTGCTCGGTTTCAGATCCAGATTTGGAGCACAAGATACAAGATACAGACCGATCTGAGGCTGAATGGCTGCTGCTTAAACAAGACCCAGCGCAAATAGAGCATTCGTCAGTTGGGGGAACGTAACCAAATAAATGTGTATAATTAATTTGGCCAATCTAAGCTAACAATTTGCAGCCGAGGAAACTGTGGTAAGTAAACCCCTGTGTGGGCTAGCTCACAAATGGCTCTTAGCTGGCCATTAATATTTAATTTGGGCATTTTATTTTTAAATTTGTTGTATTTTAGTACCATTAGATATATCAACTCAGCGCAAAAAAAAGAAACCCTTTATTGTTTTCTAAATTGAAGAAAGGAAACTCTTTATTTACCTGATTATATGCCAATGTTTTATTTTTCTTGGAAAATATAAAAGTGTTCTCATTTTTATTTAAGGAAAATATTCCTTCAAAAGGGTTGTTTATTTTTTATTCTGTAAAACCTTAATTTTAGAACAACCTGTTCTCGATTGCAAATTTTCCTATTGTTAAAAACAAAAATAAATATAAAATTGTTCTCATTTCTTTTAGAAAGTGAGCTTTTTAGGAAATAGTAAATGGTACTTTGTACTCCGAAATGTCAGTAAATTGAAGACGACTGAAGAGGGCTTAAACAAAATCGAAGCCTGATGAGATTAGCGAAAGGAGTTGCCTTCGTATTTTCTTCCGCCACTTGTATAATCCCTCAGAATTTGTCTTTAAGACTGGGGATTGTAAATTTCGCTTCAAGGCCGGCAAACACGTACGAGTCGCAATTCTTGGGGGACCATTATCGTCCCGGTGCCAGCGACAATGTCGCATTACGTAAAAGCGCTTTTACGACTACATTTGAGCAGCCGCAAAGAGCCAGGCCCAAAAAAAAAACAGAAAAACAGGCTAACAGGTTGAATGCGACCAGAGATTTGAGCGTGTGCAAATGGCAGCGACTGAGACAATAAAGCTTAGAGCGGCTCCAATGAGCCAACTGCCGACTCATTCCGCTCGCATTTTCGCATTTTCGCTTCATTTTATGCGCCTTTATTTCCTCTGCTATTTTTAAGCATTTTCCAATCAACTCCGAAGCTGGATTATTTCGCCAGCGTGACATTAAACGGCTTTTGAGCTTCATAAAAATTCGCTTCGCAATATTTGACGCTCCTTGGTTTTTTCTTTCCATTTTTCGTTCTTTTTTCGCATTACAAAGTCATTCGGCAATTCAATAATAATACCAGTTTGCCGGGTTATTAAAATTTCATACAAACATTCATGCTGACTTTGACTTGTGTGCGCGCCGAGTTTTTCTTTCATTCGCTGGCTGCTTTTGGTTTTGCTTTTTGTTTGTGTTGCCTTTTTGTTTCGTAGGCGCCAAAATGTCAGCGACACGTTTTCCTACGGCGACAATTTATCATAAATATGCATGCCCCCCAAACATACATATATGTTGCTCCTGCAAAGATATATATGAATGTATATAGTATATATGTAGATACAGGATACACGGCATGTGAGGCATATAAATCCTGCTGCTGTTTGGGCGACGCGGTTCTCGCTTTTGTTTATGCCGCTGTCAGCGCTCGTTTAATTCAACATTAGCGCCTTGCAGCGGTCCGAGGTGTTTTTCCCCAGGCTTTCACCCCCCCTGAATTTTCCCAGCAGCAGTTTCAGCCATTTTCCCACCGTTGCGTTGCGTTGGAACCTTTTGTGGAACCGGCGGCCACTTTCACGCGTTTTCACCGCTCGACCTGCGCTGTTTAGCGACCATTTTTTCCAAATTGTCAAACTGTCAAATAAATTACACGCGAAGCCGTACAAAAGATCTGACGCAGTTGGGCTTCCTTTGTTGGACTGGAACTTTTGTGTGGCACATGCCTAGGCCCATGAGCACATAATGTGGCCAGTCTTTGTGGCCAGCTTTGATTGTCGAGTGGCAACAGCCGACAAAAAAATAAGAGCCGGCTATTCATACATGCGGAATTCGTTGCCAAGGCGCCGAAATATTTCGTGGAAGCTGCTCCATCAAAATCCGAAAAAAATTAGAGCATTTAACATGTGCTCTTTCCGTGGAAAATCATTTTAAATATTTGCATACGTTTCTAGGAAGCATTTTATTGGAGTATACTTATTAGGAAGTCAAGTATTAATTTTTCTCAGCTCCCACTCTCTTTATAATTTAATGCTTTCAACAGATTAGTTGCATGAAAAGGCAAAATTAGGGAAAGAGACTATTGCTTTGGGCTCAGGAATTTTCTTTCTGTCTTGTAATTTATTTATTGAAACCCTTGGAAAACATGAAATAAAAGCTCAAAGCAATTAAATATTCTTTGTGTTAATTATTCAGTTTATTTGACAAGCCAATACATTAAAACCTTGTCTTAGCTTGTCAATTGTTTTTCTGCTCCTTTAATAGAATTAAATTATTTATGCACAAGTACAATTAAATTTCAAAGAATAATTACAAAAACCCAACCATCGAGAAAAGACAGCTGCCACTAATTAATAAATTAGTAAATAAATGTATAGTTTTGCATTAATAACTAATTTATATGGAACTTATAAGTTTCTTTTTAAATTATGTTTGGAAAATACCCCTTCAGAAATTCAATTTAAATTTTTATAAACTCTCAAGAACAAAGTGATTTCCGCTATGCATTTCCTGTATTTAAATTGTATTTCATATGCTTCATATTAATATTTGGCAAAGGCCAACTTTCGCACTCCGCCAAAGAGAACTCCTCTGCATTTTCGTCTATGCAAAGCTTCGTTCGCCATAAAGACTTGGCCAAAAGTCAAGCGGATTTGGTTGGGGGGCAAAGTTTGTCTAGGCGAAAGCCGCTTAGACT